CTCACTATGTAGTTGAGGTTGGCCTTACACTTGTTATGTAGGCCTTGAGCTTGTAGCAGTCCTCCTGCCTCAGCCTCCTGAGACTTGGGTTTGGCAGTTGCGGCTGCTAAACTATGCTGCCCGAAACACATCGGGTCGCAGTCCCTGGGACCTGAGAATGTGACCTCATTTAGTAAAAGGATTTCTGCAGGTAGATGCAAGTTACGGGTCTCAAACTGAGGTGGGTCACCCTGGAGCAGCTATCTGGGCCCTGGGTCCAGCGAGAGGCACCCTTGCAGGGGATGGGGAGGGGCAGAGGGTGATATAAAGGTGGAGGCAGGTGCTGAGTGGGCCTTCCATGAGTGGGGAGCTGGGGAGGGGTGAGGGGTGTGTCCTGGGCTGCCCGCCTTGAAGAGCAGGGATACTGTGGCCCCAGGACCCAGAATCAGGCTCTCGTCCTGAGCCAGGCCATGCAGTCCTTGTTACAGTAGCCCTGGGCACAGCAGCAGGTGACCCCACATTCTAAGGCCAGTGGACTGGGCAGGCTGTGGCCTTTGGTCTTTGCCTCTGGCCCTCCCGGTCAGCCTCCTGGGGCCCCTCTGCCCTGGCCATTGTCCCAGCATCTGGCTCTGTCTTGGGAGACGGTAGCCGTTTCCTCTTGAGTCTCAGAGACACACAAAAAAGAGCTGGCCTTGTCCTCAGGCTGCCCAGGAGAGGCCTTTGTGTCTGTCCCTGTCCTAGGCCAGGGGGCAAAGAAGGGGGCACTGAGGATTTCTAGGAGCCGTTGTTGCCCTGCCCCTGCCCCTGCCCCCTTGCTGGCCCAGGCTGACCAAGGCCTGACACTGCCTCCACCTCAGTGGTTTCCATGGCAACCACTCCATCATTTGAAAAGGAAGGAGAAGGGCAGACAGGTGGCAGGTACCGCACAAGTGCACTTCCGAGCCTGTGAACTCTGTTCCCACCGTGTCACTTAGTTCAGGAGGCCACCAGTGCACAGAACCTCTGGGAGTTCCTCTGTCCCCTGCTCTTGTCACCCTGGCATCCTCCTGAGGGTCTCGAGTGGCCCCTCTGAGGGGACTGAGGCACAAGCATCCTCCTCTGGGACGCCTGCCTTCCAGATCCACACGCATCCCCAGCAGCCGTGTCGCAGCTTGGGATGGATGTGTGGCCAGCAGGGCCGAGCTGTGTGAGGTGCAGCTGTGGAGACAGCCTGGGGTTTGGGGGCGCTTCCTGGTGGTGCTGTGAAGAGGGAGGGACCAGGACTGGTGCGGAGGGGAGCCTCTGGCCTGAACCAGTCAGAAGTCCTCACCGGCCTGGCCCTCACCTGGTCACTGGGTGCTGTTTTCAGTCAAGCCGGCCAGTGTCACTTCTCTGAAAATAATGGGTTAGGGCCCCCCACTTTTCCTACTAACCCTCCTCCTCCCCTCCCCTCCCTCTTCTCTTCTTTTCCTCCTTCATCTCCCCCTTCTCCTTCTCTTCCTCCTCCTTCTTCTCCTCCTTCTCCAAGAATCGACCTTGGGACCTATGCTTCTCAGGCAGGCGCTGTGCCACTAAGCTACACCCCTGGTCCTGGAAGCCCCTTCGGAGCCACGGGTTCTGCATCTGTGGAGGGAGTCTGCTGCCCTCCTGGCAGGGGCAGAAGGCCCAGGTCCAGCCCAGCAATTTCTCTGGGGACGGCACTGACCCAGCAGCTCATAAGGCCTCCAAGACCACACACAGTGCATGCTATGTGCCACGCAGGCCGGGCACTCTATGCTCACCATACACATGCGTGGAACCCTAGGTGCACACTTCCCGCTTTCCCACACTTCCCGTCCATTGGTTCACACTGTGCTCCACACACACACAGGCTCTGCACACTTCTCATGCCCTGTGCTCGGTCAGAGCAGCGCCTGCCCTTGGAGGGCTGTTTACAGAGCTGGGGCCCTGCATGCTGCCGCACCTCTTCATCCTCCAACCCCTCCCTGCAAGCAGGCGTCCACCTGGCGACTGAGGGGACCGGCCCCAGGTCTCCAGCCAGGATCGGGGAGGGGAGGAACAGGACTGGCCGGGCTCAGGCTGAAAACTCCTGCTGCCTGGGCTGTGCCACCTGAGTGGGGGGGCTGGGGTCACCCGGTTCCCTGGGACAGAGTTAATAACATCCAGCTGACGAGTTTAGCGCACATTTTTATTTAGGTTTTTTTGAGGTACTGAGGACTGAGCCCAGGGCCTTCACACCGAGCTACATCCCCAGCCCCTTTTCAGTATTTTACTCTTAGAAAAGCTCTTTCCCTGCACACACTTGAACTTGCCACCCTCCTGCTTCGTACCCCAGCATGTAGGTCGAGGAGTCAGCACCTTGGACAGCACCAGACATGGCTAAAGCGAGCAGCATGTGCATGCACCTGTGCACACGTGCACGCATGGGTGTGCATGTCTGTGTCCGTGGGGCTGCAGAGGCCCAGAAGCTGGCTGGACCACGTCTTTGTCTCCTACCGCATGTGAGTCAGCTGATCCCTGTGGGCAGGTGGCTCTGCACCCGCCTGGAGCAGAGCATAGCTACTTCTGCCTGGCAGGGTGACCCAAGAGAAGACCTGTAGGCCTTCAGGCAAAGCGTAAGCAGCTGGACTTTTCAGGCTATTTCTGCCCGGCCCTGCCTCTAGGCTAACCAGGCCCAACTGACTGCCTCTCACAGGGCCTCACCCAGGAGGCTGATTACAGGAGTGCCCCCCACCAGGACTGTCTGTACTGGCCACAGCAGTTGCCTAATTGTGAATGCAATTAGCTGCTCAGTACCCTCAAAATTAGCAAGTGCCTAATTGTGCCTGAGCTTATCAGCTGCACCTGTGATTAGCTGGGAGCTACTTTTTGTTACACAAGTCATTGTATATGCGAATCTGTGCCCAGAGGAAGCCTGCGGGGGGGGGTGGTGGTGGTGGTGCCATACAGGAACCAGCTCTGCCCAGAGGTGGGCCAGTGAGCCAGGGAGAGAGGTGGTGTGGCAGCGAGGGATCCTGGGCTGATCCCTTTTCCAAGGAAGGGCGCAGCCTGCAGATTGTGGTACCTACTTAGGGTTTTGGTCATATAATGTCACTAGCTGGCAGTATGGCTTCCAGCATGGCACCTGGCTGCTGTGTCCTCTGGGGAGGCCAAGACAGTGTGTCCTGTGCTAGTGGCAGGAGGAAGGGCATCGCGTGTGACACTGGCAGAAGCCTATGTATGAAGGCCTCATCCCATTCGCGAGGGTGGAGTCAAAGCTTTGGTTCTCCTGAGTGCTTAGTCAGTCTGAGCCTGAGCTTGGGGTGTCTGCTGTCTGTGTCCACTGCTCAGGGTCTTCCTGCTGCTCGTGTCCCTTGGCGGCCACCCTTATTCCTGGAAAGTAGTTCTTCTCCCTGGACTTCAGGGGTTCTCATTGGCCAATTGCCCTGTGGGGACCCAGTGAGGCCTGGGACAGGCCGGGCTTGGTTGCGTCCTTCTTCTTCCTGGCAGGGGGCTTCCTGGGCTCCCCGCAAGGGCCCAGGTGTCCATGGATCCACATGCATGGAAGCCCTGGCCACGGGCATCATACTGGGCAAGGCTCTGGAGCTTGCATCTTCTCCCCTAGAGAGGTCTGGACATTAGACCTCTGGGGCCAATGGTGGCAGCTCAGTGGGGCAGGGTGCTCAGGGAATGCTATACCCGGATGCATCAGCTACCTGAACCTCAGTAGGTGGGGACAGCACCACTACCATAGCCTGCGCTGATGCAGAGGCCACTGAGATGTGCTGTGACCTTGTATAGTACCCAGGTTGCCAGCAAAGAGGACCCCAAACCAGTGATGCTATCCCAGGAGGCCCATCCTGGGGATGCAGGCCCTGCCCGGTTCCTTTCCTGGGGAGAGGCAGTGACAGGAAAGTGGAGGACAGGAGGTAGGGAGCACAAGCGCTGACGTGAGCCAGCTAGAAGGAGCCGCAGGGGCCCACGTGCAGGTGCAGGCCCAGGGAGCTGCAGGTGGGGTGACGCCAGGGCTTCCGGCCTCCATGGGGCTGGGCTCTGAGCTGTGGTTGTTTTACCTGCTGTAGCTCATTGGTGTGCGTGCACGTGTGGGGAGCGTGTGCATGTGTGTGTGTGCATGTGTCTGTGCACAGACGTGTCCTGAAGCCCTGCTTGGCCCCTAGAAGTGGGAGGAGTCCACAGTGCCCAGGTGCTGGGCACTCACCCTTCAGACTGTGCTCTGGGCCCTGCTGTTTTCCAGCTGGTGCAGGCCTGTCCTGCAGGTGCGTCCCTGCAAGAGCCCAAGGGATGCTGTTTCCAGGAACTGTAGGTGAATCTGGACCTGTGGGCTGGGACATGTGTCCCTCATGAAGTTGGACAGAGCTTTGGGTGGGCATTGGGTCCAGGCCTGGTTCATTCTTTGCTACCACAAAGATCTGGGAATTGTGAATCTGGCCCAGGTTTTCCATGGCGTCAGCAAAGGTGTAAATGCTAAGGGACAAGCGTGGAAAAGTTTGTTTGTTAGCTGGATTTATAACTTCTGAGAACTCCAGTATTTACACTTATGGCATGGAGGGGCCCTGGTTTTGTTCATGTCTGTTTCCCCAGGGCCCAGGACAGTGCCTGGTACACAGCCGTCAGGTGCCCAGGAAGTGTTTGCTCACTGGGTGTGGTGATGTACAGGCATAAACCCAGTCCTCCGGGAGGCTAAGGCAGGAGAATCACCAACCTCCGCAGCATGGTGAGACCCTGTCCCAAATCAAAGCATTGGAAATTGGCTCAGTGGGACGGTCACCGGCTAGCATGAGGGAGTCCTGAGTTAACCCCCTCCACAAAGAAAAATAAAAACAAAACAAAACAAAGCAGTAGAGTCCTTGGCCAGACCACCCAGTTATTGGGCTGGAGGGAATCTACAATGGGACCCACGAGGTCTGTTGTTTTTTTCCCTTAAGCCTTTGCTGCGAGAATGTGTCCTGGTCATGACACCAAACTCGCTGGTCATAGCAGCCGGCCCTGAACACCGCCAGCTCCTGGACTGCATGCAAGGAACAAGCCACGCCAAGGCCAGCTACTTAAAAGGGGACTTTATTCACTCCTCCGGAGCAGGGTGCCAGCGCCTGACTCCGCTCCGGTACACGATGATTCTGCAAAGATGCTATTCCGATTGGAACCAAGACTGCCTGCCACTAAAAACACATTGAAAACATCGACTCTTCCCTTTTGTTTCCCTTTTTTTTCGGTACAAAATGATACAAACAACAATACAAAATAGTTGTGCTGTTGACGATTACAAAAGAAGTGGAACAGTTGTCTCACGCGATGCTCAGCGCTGCAGTGTGCACACATCAGGCTCCTTCCCAGAACAACCACGGTCATGCGGGCTGCTACACATTGTCCATTTTAAAAAGAAACATGCAAAAAAATCAGAATGAAGAAAGGAGAGAAATGAAGAGTAAAATGCGTTCCGGGCGCCCACGGACGCTCCGGCTGGACCACCGCTCGCAGCAGGGCCTGTTGGGTGTATGGGGGGCTCTGGGCGTGGGATCCGTTTGGCTTTTTGGTGTTGTTTCTTTTAGTTTCGATGGGAATCGAGACACTCCTTCCCCTGACTTTTTACCTTGGAGGAAACAGTCGTCATCACAACGCGGACCATGAACTCACGCTAGGGAAACTGAGGTACCTCCGAGGGCCTGACCCTTGGTGGCGGGAGGTGTAGCATTTTGGAAGTGCTGAAAGACACGAGAAAGAGAAAGCCTGCTGGCCAGGCGTGGGGCCCACCGGGCTGACCGAGGCCAGCGTGTGCTGGACATGTCGCCCTGCAGGGCGAGTTTCTCCTGCGAATCCGATGAAGGAGCCGAGCCGTGCCCTGCACCCTGCCAGGAGCCAACGGCCTGGCCACAGACAGGTTGTATCTACAAGCTACAGAAGACAGACGTTTGACACTGATTGTACGCTTGGCTAACGCTAGCTCGGCCTCCAGTGGAGTTCCGAGATGGATCTAGGAGGGCGTGGGAACCCCATCCTTCTCTGGCCCTGGGGGCTAACCAGATTGCGGGGTGAAGCCGTCCAGCTGTTAAGGAAGCCCCCTGGGGTGTCCCCCCAGCTGGTGTTGAGCCCCAGCCTTTGTGATTTGGGGAAATGGGGGAGGTTGGCAGTGAGGAGCGCAGGGTGGCCCCAGAGGCAGGCCTTCTGTGGATTTGGTCTCCTGTGGCCTAGTCTGGGGGCCCAAGGAGGCCCTGGGATTTCAGAGAAAGCAATTCAAGGCTGCCTCGGCTCCTGATCCTATGCACCCTTCAAACAACCCACACACACCCCTCGGGCTCAGAACTTCTGGAAGGATGAACTGTTAAAAACACAAAAACAGAAACCCCCAGCTCCCATCCCCAGCCCTGGGGCAGCAGCCCCTCCGGTGGCCACACCCCCAGACACTCAGGGTCATCTCATTGGCTGCCAGACTTGAGCGATTTGCATAGCACGGCTGGGATGGGGACCCTCCCCGGCCTTGGGGAGCCCCTCTGCGGGGATGAGCAGGCTGCAGGCAGCAGCACCCCCGACCCTCCCCGGGCTCTCCTGGCAGGGGTCAGCATGGGCAGAGCCTGCCTCCGTTCCGGGAAGACGGAGTGGGGGATGAGTTTGGTTAGGGGAACCCTGACGTCCAACGGGACACACCCACAAGTTTGGTGCTCTGTCCACTCTGGGGTGTCTTTAGGCCAAATCTGTGCAGAAAAGGGGGCAACCTTTGCAACAGTCAGAGTCCAGGTGGTGAGCATGCTGCTCCTGGGACCCCCACCCCCCACCCCAGAAGTAGGTGTGGGCGGGGCTCCAGCATCCTTGCCCCTTGTGAATGTTGGAGCCCCCCACCATCCCCAGGAGGCATCCAGGGAGCGCCTCATGCCCGGGCCCTGGACTGAGCCAGAAAGCTTTCTGAGCACAAAACATCCCGCCCAGATACAGACGCCCAGGCCCCTTTTACATCAGGGGTGGGGTCCACGCATGGTCATCTCTCAGGCCTGCACAGCCACTCGATCCACCAGGCAGCCTGAGAGGAGCTCTCTATGGCAAGAGCAGAGCCGAGACGTGGGTCCAAAGGAGAGCAGGGCACCAGTGTCTGGGGTGTAGAGGCCAGGGGTGTTCATGACCGGGTGGCCACTCGGAGCAGATCCTTGGGGTCCGGAGAGATTCACAGGTGTCAGGCTCCCAGGTCAGATGGGCCAGGGGGATGCAGAGGGACTGCCTGAGTCCACTGAGGTTGGTGCTGGTACTTGACCTGCCTGGTCACTGACAGGTCGTCCCCAGCTGCAGGTCAGGCATGGGGGCCAAGGGCCGTCGGGCTGTGTGTATTCAGGGGCCTCCGATGGGGTCCTGGGCTCGCGCCAGAGTGCTGCTGGACACTGGCTTCTTGGACAGCACACTCTCCTGGACCAAAAGCAAGGGGGAGCTTGGTGGCACTGGGGTGACAGCTGGTCTGGTGGACTGGGAGATGCGTGGCCAAGGGCACAGGGGGGGCTCCCGGGCCTCAGCTATTTACAGCATTTGGGAGTCGGGGGCAGCCACAGGCTGAGGTGAAGGTCAGCTCCACACGGCTCTGGCTGTCAGAGGCCTGGCCAGTCTTTGCCTGCGGCCTCGGGAAGCCCCAGAGGGGCCCAGAAGAGTCCCACTGTACCGCAAAGGCTGTTGGGATTTGAACCCCACACTATTTCCTGTTTTCCCCTTTAGTATGAAAAGAAAAAGCCCCAGAGGGACCCTTCTCCACGCCTTGCTCGGCTCGTCCCCCTTGAAGGGACAGCGGGCTGCTCCTGAGCGGGGATCCGACACATGTACCAAAAGGCACTTTTGTTTTGTGTTTTCTTAGCAGTGCGTTTGTTCTAGGAAATTCAAGTCAGGACAGTGCCTCTGGCGCTCCCTTCGCGTCTGTCTGTCCACGGTGGCTGCGGTGCAGCGGGGCAAGGTCCAGGCTGGACAGCTCCACACAGGGCGGGCGGGGCCTCCTGATGCAGCACCGCGCTGTCCCCCTCCCACCGTCTGTCCATCCGTCCGTCTGTCAGTCGTCTGTCTGCGGGTCCGCAGGGCAGATCGGGGAGCCCACCGCCTCTGCAGAGCCCTGCTCCTCCTGTCCGAGCGCTGCTCTCATCTCCGGGCTCGGGCGGAGGCCGGCTAGTCCTCCTCGCCGCCCCCATACATGTCCGCCAGCTTCTTGAAGCGGGGCCCCCAGTCGTTCAGGTAGTCGTAGTCCTGGTCCCCAGAGCTGGAGGAGTCCAGGGAGCTGACCGAGCCCGCTGTGGACCCACTGCCCTCGTAGTCGAAGACCAGCAGGGAGTCATAGGGGGGTGCTGTGGGGTCATTGTCCGCTGCTCGGAGCCCCTGGGGGTCACAGAAACAGGGCATCAGGGGGATGGGGGTTCGGGGGTCGGGGCAGGGGCTTGGGGAGAGAGTGGTGGGGTCGGGATGATGGGGTTGAGGTGGGGGTTCAGGGTGAGGGGGATGTGGGATAGGGGGACCAGATGAGGGAGACAGGGTGAGGGGAACGGGTGATGGGGTCGGTAGGGGTCAGGGTTTGGGGTTAGGTGGATGGGGTGAATGGGTGGGGGTTAGTGGGCTAGGGCCAGGAGGATGGAGTGAGGGGGATGGGGTGCTGTCTCAGCCAGGGGCTTCTGAGAGAGGAAGGAGGCTGGGCCAGAAGATGGGGTGCCAGGACCTCTCTGCAAGGTGCTTGCTGGGTAGGTGTCCTACGTTGGCCTCTGGGGCTTTTTAGAGCGCCTGTGGAGCCTGTTTCTGAGAATGGGCTGTGGACTGTGGGGGCTCGTGGTGTAAAATCTCGGGGGTGAGGGGTTGGATTGAGCCTCAGGAGGGTGCAGCCCCAGGGTGGCAGGTGTCTCCACCCCAGTCCATTGGGCTCTCACGGGAACAGGTCACACCCGTGGAGGTGTCACAGAAACATGATGGAACTCGCAATGTGGCAGTGGTCACGGATCCCTGAGTACGAGGGCCACTCTGTTCTGCACCAGCTTGTGGGTCGCCAGGGGGAGGTGTCCCTGGTGCCCACAGCCACCTCCGGCTGGTTCTGTCCTCAGCCCAACTTTGCTCCTGCATCAGCCCCATGAACGAGTTGCCCTCAAATTGTACCTTTTGGGGAGATTCAAATTCAGACCAGACATCGATTTACATGAAGTAGGCACAGTGGGTGGTGCATGCCAGTAACTCCACCACTCTGGGAGGCTGAGGCAAGAGGCTACATCAAGCCCAACCTGGGCAAGTTAGTGTCTTAGTGAGAACTTGTCTCAAAATAAAATAAGGGCTGGGACTGCAGCGCAGTGCAAAGGCCCCGGGTTCGGTCAACTCCAGTGGGCTGCCGAAACACCCACGCCTCCCCGTCACCTGCTCAGTGGTGACCCTGGGTCTGTAGGTCGCTGTGGGAGGTAGGGGTCATCCCCAGCACCAACAGCTGTGTGCTGCGCTGAGCGGGTGGACCTGGGAGTCTGCCTGGCTGCCCACCTGCTTCCCCTCCCTGCAGGACCCTCGAGTGGGGTGCAGAGAGCCAGCTGGGATCAGGAACTGCTAACCCCGCTGGCACTGTCCCTCCCTGCTCTTCCCCCTGGAGGAAGCCGGATGCAGAGCACAAGCTCGCTCAGGGTGGACCCGACGTCCAGCTCAGCTGTGGGTGCAGCTGCTTCTGCAGCACAAAGGTCAGAGCTGGGGTCCTGGGGGTCTCTGGCCCCCATATTCTTGGCTCTCACAGCCCACTGTTGCTGTGATGGCCTGAGATTCCTGTTAAGCCCCGAGTGCCCAGAGGGTGGCTCAGTCCCTCCGGGCCACGTGCTGAGGGGTCTGAGTGGGGCTTACCCTGCTGGGATGCGCTAATGGGATTATTTTACAGGAGACCAGGCTTGGGTCCTCGAGCTGCTGGGGAGCTCACCTCGTTGATAAAGTCGCCGATGTCACCCGGGTGGGGCACCACAGGCCTGACAGGGTACTGGGGCTCCGCGCCCACCGGCCGCTCATCCACCCGCCGCACCCCAGGTGCCTTGCTTAGCACGTGCTCCATGGCTTCCGGCTGCTGCAGCTGGCTGAGGTCATAGTCCTGGAGTAGAGACCAACACCTGTCAGGAGGGGATAGACAGGGGCACCAGCGGCCTCCCTGCCCACCTCGTCCTGTTCTGTCCCTGCACTGACGTCCTGAGCCACCACTGGTCTCCGAGCTAATCTGCCATCCTATTCCGTCCCTGTCCTCTGGACTGCCCCTCCCGAGGGCCCTGTCCCTTTCCATTTCCCCAAGTCCTGCTGGTTCCCAGGCAGGAGTGGACTGTGTGTGCCCATGGCCCTGCTGCCCTGCAGACTGCCTCAGCCCTGCACAAATTCCACAGGGAAGAGCTGGGCCTGTGTCCTGCCCTGCGGCTCCCCGGAGGGCCAGGTGGAGTGGTGGGCAGAACTGACCCTGGGCCCCTGCCCTCCAGGGGACAGTGCAGCCTTGGGCTGGGGTGGCACTCAGGGAGGGAGAAGAGAGGGCACTGTGCCCTGAGGAGGACGCAGTCCAGGCTGGGTGGCTGTGGAGGCACTGCTGGGTCTGCACATTCCGGAAGGAGCACATAACACCTCCTTGCTCAGAGAAGGGACAAGGCCTCACTGCCCTGGGAGACCATGGAGCACAGGGAGGGGGCGCGCGGTGTCGCACCTGGTCCTCCTCGCCGCCACCCTCCTCATCGTACTTGAGGATGTTGTCACGCACGTCGTCCTCGGGGTCAATGAGCAGCTGCTTTGTGTGTCGCTCCTTCTCCCGCCTCTTCATCCACAGGACGAACAGCAGGACCATGGCTGCAGGGAGAGGGAGCTGCGTGTGTGCCTGGGTATGAGAGTGTGATGGACACACCTGTGCATACGCATAACTCGAGCATGTGCACTGCTGGGTGCACCTGTCCCACACATGATGTGTAATCAGGCACCTGTGTGCATGTGGGCATGTGTGTCCGTGCAAGCTCCTATGTGCAAGAGCAAATGCACCCATCTGTGCATGGTGCATATGTGTGTGTGTGGTGTGAGTCTGCCCCTGTGCCTGTGTGGTTTCCTAGGCTGGTTGGCAGCTCAGGCCCTCTGCCCCACTCTTTGCTTGGGCACCCGAGCAATGTTCTGAGCCCTTTGGCTATAGCTGACCCTCGGTGTCTTGGGGACTGGCTGACCCTGCCTTTGTGGGTACCAGAACCTATGATGCACAAGTCCCTCGTGTGATTTTGTGTAGAAGCCACACCCCTCAAAATTCCCCTCCGAGTGTAGTTAGGTGACTGGTAAGTGACTTCCAGTAACCAAGACAGTGTACACGTTGTGTGAGCAGCTGTCATTCCCAGTGTTCAGGGAATAATGACAGGAGTCTACACGCTCAGCACAGACACAAATACTTTCCTGAGCATTTTGATTTGTAGCTCAGTGAGTCCACAGCTGGGCCACCTTGCCCTCCCCCACACCGTGCCCACCTTAGGGAGGCAGCTGCTAGGGATGGGGGGCAGAAGGGGGCTTGGGGGGAGGGTCTGTGAGCCTCTCTTTCCATCACTCTGTTGAACAGTAGCAGAGGAGGTTACAGTGTCCTGGCTGGAACTGCAGAGGGAGCAGGGTCCCTTGAGTTGCAGCTGGACCTGTGGGGGTGTTGGGAGGAGGGGGAACCCCAGCAGGACCTCCAGGGCCCAAGGTGTGGAGGCAGAGTGGCCTCGAGCAGGCAGGGACAGAGGAGCCCCCAGGAACCAGAGGGTCTCCCCTGCACAGCTCTGGGCCAATGGGTGGAGGGTAGGAACGAGCCCAGGGGTCCCCCATCATCCAGAGGGACCGGGGCCCAGGCTGGGGTTCAGGTGCAGAGGAACAGAGGCACACAACCCACAGAAGGGAAGAGAATTCGTCAGCTACTCCCTGGGCGGAGGATCCTGTCTAGAATACAGAAGGAAGTGAAAAAAAATGGAGCCCCAGAGAGCCCCGGTAAGCTGTTGAGGAGAAGAGGAGCACAAAGGCCCTGTAAGTACAGGGGAAAACATGCCTGGCCTCTGTGGCCATTAGAGAAACGCCAAGAATGGGAACAGCTCTGAGATTTCCACCCCTCCACAGCTCGGCTGCCATCCCGGACTCCAAGGCGGGCAGTGTTGACAGGTGGGAGCTGCAGCCCCTTCTGCAGGACACAGGGCCGCCACAAGAGTCAGTGTGGGGAGTCCTCAGAAACTAACAGCTGGTTACACCACTTCTGGACGTCTTCCTGACAGAGGCAGAGACGCCGAGCTCGGCAGTGTGTGTGCAGCCCCACAGCTCTATGCCAAGCCGGGCAGGAAGGGGCCACTGTGCCCCTCGGGCCGAGAGGGTGAGGAAATCGAGGCGTCTGTGCTCAGGGAGCTCCACACAGCCTGAAAAGGGGTGCATTGGGGTCACTTGTAGGAAAACGGCTGCACCTCGAAGCCCTGATGCTAAGTAAAATAAACCAGACACCGAAGGCTAAGGACCTCGCGGCTTCTCTTACGTAAGAACCCCAAATATAAATAAAGAAGAGAATAAAAGATGATAGGACATGGGGAGTCGATTTGCAGAGATGGGAAGGGGCTTGGGGTGCAGGGACGCAGGGAGAGGAGGGAGGGGACGTGTGAAGGGTTCAGATGTCCCTGTGTCTGCACCAGTACCCCATGCAGGTAATTTTGTGCTAGTAAACCACAAAAAGGCGACACCCAGCCTTCCCTCCACGCATGGAGTTGTTCCCCCAGGACTGGCCCAGCCCCCAGGGTCAGTGCCCAGGCCCCTGTCCTGGCCACCCACTCATGTCCAGCCCCCTAGGCTTGTTTCCTGGAGAGGCCCTGGGATTTCCCTATCTCCACTGCACCTCCCTAACTGCTCCCTGTACCTGTGTCTGGCTTTTGCAGGGTGACTGTGCCTGCCCTGCGGGCTCCAGGAGGAGCTGTGCACCCTTGGGCTCCAGGAGGAGGTGTATGACCCCGCCTTGTCCTCCTGGCAGCTCCCTGCACAGAGTGGGGGCACGTGGTCTAGAGAACCGTTTTAGGGAATGAGCAGAGCACGGTGGGAAGGGCTCTGAGGCTGAGTGCGGGGGTGGGATGAGGGATGGGGTTTCCCAAGGATGTGGGACAAAGTGCCTAAACCTGGAACCCAGAGCCCATGCTGGCTGAACAGGGAGCTGGGAGGACGAGACCACTGGGGAGGCGGCTGTGTGGGCGGCTGGGGCTCAGCCCAGTCCACCATGGGGACCAGAGGAGAGGGGTCAGCGGAGGCCAGAGAGGCCGCCACTGCTCCGTGCCCAGGCCAGGCTGCTGCTGAATCAGGGTCTTGCACAGCCCTGCCCTGGAGCCCTGGGCAGTGGTATCCCCTCCTGTCAGGCCCAGAGGAGGAGCCCCATTCTGCCACACTGAGGAGTCTGGCAAGGTCACTGTGGAAATGAAAGAGGCTTTCAGAGCGCAGCAGAGCCAGGTGCGGTGATGCACATGGTACTCTCAGCATTCTGGGAGGCTGAGGCAGGAGGATTGCCAAGTTGGAGGCCAGCCTGGGAAATTTAGGGACTTGGCAAGACCCTGTCTCAAAAACAAACACCCCCAAAACAAAACCCCAAACAGGGCTGTGGATGCAACTCAATGCCCTGGGCTCAGTTCCTATTAATACTCATGCACATGTGCACGCATACACACACACACACACACACACACACGCATCTGTGCACAAGGAGGATAGATTTTCAGAAACCGAGAAAGGCTGAGGCCACAGTTAGAGACCTGGGGCTTTGGGAAGGCTCAGTCCTGTCCCGAGGGCAGCAGGCGGGGGGACCCACATGAGGCTGTAGCCCAGCCTGCAGAGCAGAGGGCCCGTGGCCTGGATGCCACATCCCAGCCCACCGCCCACCCTTCACTGTCTCTACCTTGCTACCTGGGCTATCAGCGGGCAGGGATGACGGTCCAGGGGAAAGGAGGGGAGCAGGGATGCTGGGGTCACTCCCCCACAGCCGTCACCCCCCGGGTGGTTCAGGAGCCCCGAGAGACCCCAGGAACATGCGCCTTGGTTGTGGCCCAGGAGCACAGCCCATTCCCTGGCTTGTGATTGGCTTTTAGGTGAGCATGTGACCTGAGCCAGCCCAATCAGACAGAGCCCTGAACCTGGGACAAGATCTTGGCCTGCAGGGCTGTCCTTCCTCCTGAGGTCCACTGAGAGCCACCTGCAGGCATTTTAGGGCCTCGAGGGAACCAGGTTTGGACTCCAGGGGCTTGTGGGAGGCAGAGTGGGGAGAGGAGAGGGGCCAGGCCCCAAGAGACACCTCCAGCTCCTGGATAAGGTGGGGGGTTACGAAGGTTTGCCCAGAGGACGAGGCTGAGCCAAACGGCCATGGGCCCGACGTCGTGCTGCTGCGCCCTGAGCCCCCGGGCCCCGGAGTCGGGCACTCACTCAGCAGGATGACGATGCAGATGAGGATGGCCACCATGGCCCCCGTGCCCAGCCCGGCTGCGGCCACAGCGCCCACGGCCGTGCAGTCTCCATTCTCGTCACAAGGGCACACCTTGACCTTGATGATGGACGTGTTGGACAGGGGAGGGTTCCCTGAGTCCGTGACCATGATGGGGACCTCGTACATCCCGGCTTCTAGGTACAGGATGCGCAGGCTCAGCTGGGCATAGTCACCTGGAGTGAAGCAGCAGTAGAGCTTGAGGACCGGGCAGCGGCGGGCACCTCCTTCTGGTGGGACTCCCAAGGGGTGCCCATGTGATGGCAGGAAAGGGGGTTCACACACGTGTGCGCACACACACGCACACACACGTTACAGGCACTGGCAGTGCAAGTAAAAGACAATTCCAACATGAAGGTTAAAGAAATCATTTCCTAAATATTTGGAGTTTTACCAAGTCCATTAGGGAAAAACTCCAGGGAAAAACTGCTGAGCAGGGAGTTCACAAAAGAAACTAAAACAGAAATTCATTTAAAAATTTAATTAAATATATTAATTTAATAAATACATTCTAAATGTAAAAATTTATGGGCTGGGCATGGTGGTGCACACATGTAATCCCAGCACTTGGGAGGCTGAGGCAGGAGGATTGCTATGAGTTCCAGGCTGGTTCAGTCCCAGCCTGAACTGCATAGTGAGACAGACTCAATAAAAAAATAAAATCATGCGGTCAAGAGCTGTAAGTGGACAGTAGTTTTGGCTGCAAAGCTGGCACAGCGCCTCGGGAGCAGTGACAGCACTGGTGGGAACTGGTGGACAAGGGTGCTCTGCATGCAGAGGCAGGGGTGGTCCGTGTTGCTGGAGGATGCACTCACAGCACTGTCTGCGCTGAAGGGTCCCAGCGCCTCTCAGCTCCAGAGGGGCAGCGTGTAAGGAAATGCACGGCCAGGGCCCAGCGAGAAGACACTGGACAGGGAGTAAGGGGATGCGGTCAGTGTCACAGCGATGAGGACGCCCAGGTGTGCGTGCTGGTAAGGGACCTGGGCCTGTGGGGTGGATGGAGGGGGTTCTCGGCCCAGGCACAGCTGCGTGGTCCTGGCCTTGCTAGGACAGGTCCTCTCTCCCAGCCTTGGTGTCCCCTCCCGGAGCTGTGCTCACCGTTCAGGCGGGTGATGGTCCAGTTTTTCCGCACGGCGGTGGGGACGAAGGGCAGCTCAAAGACATAGGGGCCGACGTTGGGGTCCACATCGGCGTCGGCCGCGGTGATGTTGATGGCGTTGAGGCCGGGCTTCTCACAGACCTGGGCCTCTTTGGGCAGCAGCTCCGGGGCATTGTCGTTGATGTCGATCAGGTAGATCTGCAGGGTCCCTGTGCCGCTGGCCGGGGGGATCCCTGTGGGACAGATGCAGGGTGACCAGGCGGGGACACTCCAGGAACTCCACAGCCACAGCCAGACTATGGTCACAGGCAGGACGCAGACACAGGCAGCCAACAAGACATACCCAGAGACATGTGAGGGCCCAGCCAGGCTCACACGGCTTCTCATCCAGGGTCACCTGGCCACAGCCCCAAACCGGCCTGACACCACACTGCAGCCGCTGGCCCACGACCATGTGGACGCACAGCCGCGTGTGACACACACACACTGTCACACACTGCTTGACACACCCTCGCCTGGCCCGGCCCTTGTGAAGCCCAGAGGTGTCCACAGTGCCCATAGTGTCCGGTCCTGCTCCTCTCTGGGGTCCAGGGAGGGCTCTGGAAGCCCCTGGTGTCCTCCTCAGCCTTTCCTTGTCTCTCTGCTATTCCCGAGTTTCTTGCCCAGCTGTACTCACAGAGGCTGGGCGTCCTGAGCCCAGACTCAATCAGGATGAAGAACTGAGCCATCCCAGCACTTGAGAGGCTGAGGCAAGAGGACTGCAAGTTTGAGGCCAGCCTGAGCAGCTTGATGAGGCCTTGTCTCAAAATAAACTTTCAAAAGGCCTGGGGATGTGGCTGGGCGCTCTTTGGGTTCAGTCCCAGAGCTGCAAAGTGCTCTGGGCACAAACTGTCCCAGGAGCTCTGGAGCTGGGCCTCGGGCTGACGTCTCCACAGATGTCCTGTTTCCCTCTGGCCTTGGTGAACAGAAGGGCTCTGCTGTGGGCCTGTCCTTGTCACCTGAGCCCCCACACCCAGCCCTGCCTCGACCCAGGTCAGTGGTGCTGGTGGACATGTGCCATGCGGCCAGGTCTGTCCCCAGGCTGGGGTGGCTGTGGTGATGGCAGGGCTCTTAGCCCTTGCACGGTGGAGCCTGACCCTGACGTGGACAGTGTTTGTGGCCGAGGCCCTCGGGGTTGGGAAAACTTTCCTGCAGCTCTCTCCTCTGCCCAGAAATGCGACCTGCATTGGGATGGGTGATAGGTGACCGCTGCCGGTGGGTAACTCAGGGTGGGTGTGGAGGGCCTGGCTTGAGGACTGGGGTCGGTGACCCAGTCCTGCTCACGGCATCTGCTACTTTCTGAGCCTTCATGCTCTGGCCTCCCTCCCTGCCGATCCCTGCCCGGCCTGCAGCACCGGGACCAGGACAGCTGCCTCCCCAGGGCACTGACCGTTGTCAGCTGCCATGAAGGTGGCCTCGTAGACGTTGTTTTTGATGTACAGGGACTCTCGGTCTAGGACGGCTGCCGTGGTGATCTGCCCATTGGAGGCATTGATGTGCAGCCAGTTCGCCGGGTCAGAGAGCTTGGAGTACCTGCAGGGGGGAGAGGAGCAGAGGCCTGGGCTGGGTGCCATGGGCTGCCAGACAGCCCCGCATCCATCCCAGGTATGGTCCGCCTTTAGGCTCCTGGCACTTGGGGAGCTATGAAGTCCTTGGAGGTCGGGAGTCCTCCCCACCTCTCTCCTCCACCTTCCTGGGTCTCTGGCATCGCTGGGCACTGCAGGGATAATGGGGCCCACCTCTGTGGGTAACAGGACCGAGGCCGGGGAGCCCCCATTGGGACCCACCTCACAGCCTGCGGCATGAAGCGGTCAGGGTCCACGGCAGAGAAGGTGGTGAGCGCCGTGCCAGTGGGCACGCCCTCCTCTAGGCGGATCAGCTTGCGGTTGGAGGGGAAGTAGGGCGCCTCGTTGATGTCTGTGACAGAGATGGTCACGCCCGCAGTGGACTGGAAGGACATCTGGATCCCGCTGGCCAGTGGCGCCTGGTTGGACACCATCACGGTGAGCATGAAGGCCCTGTTCAGCTCGTAGTCCACCGCCTGAAGGGAGAAGCAGGATCAGTCTGTGCCAGGCAGCCCCCCCTGCTCTGTCCCCAGGGCCCTCATCCTGATTTCTGGCACCCAAGTGTCCTCGGCTCTAGCTTCCTGAGGGTTCAGCCAATGGAAGGAGAGAGGTTGGGGTGAAGGACCCCAAGCCCTGGCGAGGCAGGCTCAGGGCTTCTTGGGGCTCTTGCCCTGCAGAGCGGCCTCTCCTCCCTAGCCCAGTGCTCACCAGCTCCCTCCAGCCCAGAGTGCCCCTCTGGGAGCAATGGGCTGATGGAGGTCCCCAGAAGGGACAGTCATTGTGTCTGCAAATGGGTATAGAAACAGAGTTGCTGCAGATGCCACTCTGCTGATGGAGAAGTCTCGAGATGGGATTGTCCAGCTCAGAGGAGGCATGAGATAGACACAGGTGGGGCCTCGTGCAGACAGAGGGGCTGGAACAGTGGGGCTCCCAGCACCCACCAGAAATGAGGGAGGAGCTGATGCTCCACAGGGGCTTCTGGGTGAATGCAGCCCTGCTGGGGCCTCGACTTCAAACCCTAGCACCCAGAGCACAGGGACGCAGTGCGGTGTTTGTCTGAGCCAGCACTGGAGGCTGAGCCCAGGCTCTTCGCACAGAGCTGCATCAGTGCATTTTTCACCTTGAGATGGGGTCTTGCTAAGCTAGCCAGGCTGGCCTTGCAAAGCCAGCTCCAGCTTGTGATGCTCCTGCCTCAGCCTCCCAGAATGCTGGGATTACAGGTGGCATCTGGCTAACTGCATTTGTGAGCTGTGATTTGTTACTGCAGTCCCTGGACACCAACACTCCAGGCCTGCACCCTCAGGGCCAGGGTTGCAGTTACGCTGTTGGTGGGCTGTGCCCCCAACTGACCACTTCCTGGCTGGCTGGAAGCTCCCAAAGTCTGAGGTTGGAGGTGTGTGGCCAGGGAGGCTCTGCTCACCCTTTTCCCTCATGTTGGGCCAAGGGAAGCTACACAGAGGTGGCATGGGGTCCTGAGACCCGAAGCCTGCAGCAGTCTGGGCCGGGGGCCATGTGATAAGATGCGTGGCAACTGCGTTTTAAAAATCCCAGCCTGGCATGTGCCAAGTATCTTGTGCCGAGCAAGACCCAGGACCCAGGCTCCCGTTGGGAGAAGCTGAGAGCCGGGGAAGGTGAGGCCTGGGCAGCGAGGCGATGCGCACTGCAGCCCAGTTCCCTGGCACTCAGATTCTGTCCTGCAGAGCTGGGGGCAGAGTGCAGCGCCAGGGCAGGTGCCTCGCAGAGGTGAGCCCGCATCTAGTCCCCAGTGCGGATGCATCGCTCCTTATTTAGCGATGCTCAGACCCACGCACTGCTCCATGTGCGTGGTCTTCTATTTATTTATTTCCCCCGCAACGGGCCCTGTGTCCTGTTTATAGAGTCTCTTGTCCACACAGTCCTGTACTGTGCACTGCGGTACTGTGCTTTTGTGTTTTGTTGTACGTTACAGCACTGCTTGCAAGAATTATGCAAATAAGAGTCATTATAAATGGCCAGGGGGTTTAGCTCGGTGGTGCAGCACCTGCCTGGCAAGCATGGGGTCCTGGTCCCCCCCAGTAAAAAAAAGCAATCCTCAAATTGAGTCTCTTTTGGCTCTCGTTGTCCTGGAAGTCATAGATAATTTCTGACTTAGCAGCAGAATCACAGCAGGGGCACTCCCTAACACAGGAGGACGAAGATGGTCCTGCGGAGATGGGCAGGGAGACCAATACCAGCTGCAGGCCCTGGACTCTGGGCCTCCAGGACCATGAGATGAAACGAACCTCTCTTCTTTTTCTTGGTACCAGGAATCAGACTCAGGACCTTGCACTTGCCAGGCAGACTGTGCTGCTGAGCCTCTTTCCTTGGTAACTAATGCGGTCTGTGGGGCTGCGTTATGGGCCACAAGAGAGACACAGACAGTCTGAGCCCTGAGAGGCGAGGTCCCCAGCACGCTGGGAGAGCACAGAGCCACCCCAGAGTGAACAGGACATTGTGCCTTTCCTCCCTCTGCGACCAGGGCCGAGGGAAATAGCCCTGGGGAGGGGACTTGGCTCTGCTGTGCGGCAGGGGCATCGGTGTCAGTGTGTGGCCCGATGGTCCCTTGCTGAGGGTCTGAGGTGAGGCAGAAACTGGCTGGAGGGAGGACGGAGCAGAGCTGCTCCCCTCATGGTCTCCAGGAAGCAGAGGGTGGGAGGAGAGGGGAGCAGGGGAGGGGAAGAGCCTTGGGGGCCTGGGACCACACAGTACTCCTCCTGGCCCTGCCTGCTGGCTCCCTAACTCCCCAGACACCACTGCATGGGGAGTCCATCCCTGGATTTATCTGCCTGAGGAAGTGGAGCCCCAGCAGATCAGCTCCCCAAAGTCCATCAGCCTGTGGCCAAGCACATGAGTTTTGGGGACACTTCAGGTGGAAAGCGCAGCACCTGGCCTGTGTGTTTGCTCGTAGCTTCAGAAAGCAGCTCAGGAGGCAAGGGTTGCGGGGGAAATGCTGCAGAAACGGAGGCCTGGGGACGGAAGGCAGGCTGACATCACCGCGAGTGACCTGACGCTGGGGACTGCTAGCTCACTTCTCACCTGGGGCACAATTGTACATCAAGTGGCCTCCAAACCACGCAGGACCAAGTGTCCATGGACTGGGAACACAACTCCCAAGGAAGGCTCTGCCCTGGGCACAGGTGCACAGGCTGGGATCCCCAACTCCTCCGCGGCAGCAGCAGCAGTAGAAGAAAATCAGCTCTCATCTACCTTCCCGCCCTTGGTAGTGACTTCGGATTAGGTATTCTTAGCGTTTTATGTACATCACAGGGTAAAGTAAATAAGCAATTATGCCGAGAATGTCAAGAACCAAGATGCACAGTGTAGGAAGAATGAAATACAACAATAAAGTGCACACAGTTAAGTAAAAACCCTCTGAAGTTAAATTTGGGTTACATATTCATGTCAGCAGCGTAATAAACTGTGAAGCCCAGTGCGGGCCCACGGAGGCTGGGCTGTGAGTGGCCCGGCTGCCTGTGGCCTGACACGGTCCCCAAGCGCTGGCCCTCGGGCTGCTTCTGGCCCGAGGCAGGAAAGCAAGGAGAGCTTGGGGGTGCACAGGGCTGCTCAGCAGAAGGGTGGGAGCGGGCGGCTGGAGGTGAGAGGACACAGGATCCCACTGTCCTGGCTACCACAAGCCAGAGGGGGTCTGTTTGAGCATCAGAATCCATAGTGAATTCTGAATATATAAAGATCCACGTACCCTTAATTACAGTAAGAGAAAATGAAAATGCAAAGCAACTGACCGATGCCCCCGGTTGAGCCAGGAGCTGAGCCTGGCACCTGCCACCGTCACCTCGGTGGCCAAGGCCTCTGAGTCCTGGATGAGCCGAGGAGGGGCTGGGGAGACGGCAGGCTCGGGAACCAGGCAGGGCCTGGGGTGCTGGGGGCCCCACCCTCGGCCGGCTTCTCTGGGTCCCCCAACCACGCCTTTCCTTGCTCTCATCCCTCTGCCTGCGTTGATTGTTTTCTTTTTGAAACAGGGTCTCACTGTGTAGTCCGGGCTGGCCTCGAATTTGAGGTGATCCTCCTCCCTCCGTCTTTCTTCCATTTGTGGGGTTACAGGCGTGCCCCACTTCAACCGGCTCAGCCTCCTCCTGTAGGGACCCCGGATTGCACCGGGGCTGCCTTGCTAATCTCAAGACCCTCAAGTGCAGTCTCAAGACCCTCACCGAAGGTCTCTCCCTCGCAGTCAGGCTCCCTGGAGTGGGGGCGGGGTTAGAATTCTGACCCCAGGACCGGTACCCCGGAGCAACCAAGGCCTCGCTGATTCGGAAACATCTCCTGTACGGGGCCGGCTGGGGAAGGAACGAAGGGGTACGGGGCGCTGAGCTGTCACAGGGGGACTAGGCTGTCGCCCTTGAGCCCAGGGGCTGCTGTGGGTTTCCAGCTCTGTCTGAGCTCCAGCCTCCAGGCCCTGCCTCAGGGACCAGCCCTTCAGCTGGTCACCCTTCCTCCCAGGGACGTGGTCGGACATCCCGGGGACAGGGAGCCCTCAGGCAGGGCTGTGTGGCTGAGCTGTAATCCCCAGCCATGCCCCAGCAGTATTTTGGAGGATGACACCGTTCAGAAGGGAAGGACTGAGGTCTGGGAGTGAAGAACCTACGCTTCCACAGAACATGTGGACGAAGCTGCCGTTCCACAGGGTCGCTGCCTCCTCTTCCCAGCCCGTGTGGGGACCTCGTGACAAAACAGCAGTGCTGGTCCTGGAGCCAGTCCTTGGGTCCCTATGGTTGCTGGCAGCGGTGTGGGTGTCACCTGGCTCTAAGCCTGGTCTTACCCTGGGGCAGCTGCTAGGAGTCTGTGGCCAGATGACATTTGAATTTTGTGAGCTCCCACAATCCCACACTGGCCCGTTACTAAACACAGTACTGATGGAATAGGAGGCAGAGCCCCGAGGGAGACGGCTGTGCCCAGTGCCTCTGCCTCCTCAGTGCCTATCACTGTGCCCTGCAGGTTGGGAGCAGCTGTCACCTGTGAGCTCCTTGTTCACAGCGGGGCCTGGCACCCACAAGGCCACTCCAGGAGCACCCAGGTCCCACAGGTCTCACACTGTGACCAGGTCCCCAGCACGGCAGAGCTCAGCCCTGGCTGTGGTGTCAACCCCTGCCCAGTACCCCTGGCCGGGCCAGGTGGTTGAGACACACTTGAGTCCCAGAGTCTTGGTGGTGGCGTAGGTGGAGAGCCACCAGTGCAGAGGGACCTCCCTCCCCATTTATTGGTTTTCTCCCCCCCACCCCGGGGTTGTGGAATAATGCCTCGAGTCCGGGTTAAAAATGGTGTCACAGCCTGAGCAAGTAGGCCTTCCAGAAAGACTATAATGGCCAATAAAAGTCCCAGGAAGGTAAAATAAAACGCGTCTGTAATGGAGAAATCAATAAGTAATTTGCTCCTGCAATTTCAATTAGGGCAGCTGGATCCATTGCTGAGGGGAGGCCCAGCCACTGCCATGGCTGGGGGTGGAGCGCTTTGGGGACAATGGGCCCTGCTGGAGGCCGTGGGGCACCCTGGGGTGCAGACTCCACTCCACGGGAGAGAGCCTGGGTGAGGAGCTGGGTCCCACCTTGCTAGAGGCAGGGTGGTGGGGGGACGGCAGGCCAACTGGGGCCTGCAGGACATGTCCCCAGGCCTGCAGCAGCTTCTGGTGTGCGGCCCCTTGCCCCTCAGAAAGTGGCCAGCAGGAGGCCAGGGAGAGGGATGTGCTCCGGGGAAGGGCCAGGCTGGACAAAGCTCTGGGGACAGCAACCCCCTAGAGATGTGAAGTCTGGGTGGCAGTGCAGGCCGAGGGGGCAGGGGTGACAGACGCCCCATGGTTTGGGACCTGGAGCAGACAGGCTGGGTGCCCAACCCCAGTCAGTACACCCAGGCTAAAGTGATGGATTTTGGGGGTTCCAGATCACAGACGGGGTGCAGGGCAGGGCGGACATCAGCAAGACCCGCCTGTGAGGACGCTGGCAGCCTGGAGGCCATCACTGCCATCTGTGCACGCAGGTCCGGTCCCCACCCTGGGTGCTGTGCACAGGCCCTCCTTGGCACACCCGGCCTCCCCCAAGAACTGCATTTCAAGGTGACAAGTGGCCTTCTTCGGGAAGGGGGGCCCATGCTGCCGAAAATACTGGGTAATACACGAAGAAAGGATGAGCAGGATGTCCCAGGAGGAAGTAGCAGGCGCAGCCTACAAGGGCCGCGGGTGGACAAAGCACAAGCCTCCCATCGCCCTTCCTGTCCTGCAGCAGCTTCCGTGACTCTGCCATCCCCACAGGACCCCAGCTCTCAGCCTCAGCCCTGCAGCGTCCTGCAGAGACGCACAGCCTCCAACTCATCCAGGCTCTGGGTGGAACTTCGGTTCTGGAACTGGGGGAGGGGTGGGGCGGGGCTGACTCAGGTGGGCGGGGCCAGAGGGAGGCTGGAGCTGAGCCCTGCAAGTGTGCTGTGTACTGGGGTTTGAACAACAGCAGACTGCTGGGCTCAGAGGGGACACTGAAGGCTGGTCAGCTTGACAGTGTGGGCCCGGTGGGCACCGAGCTTTCCGCACAGCTCGAGGTGGCCCTGTGGGATTCACTGGCTCCCTCTGGAGCAGGGCACAGGGAGCTGGGGCCTGTGGACCTCATCTGACGTCTTCCTGCTTCCTGAGAGTCATGAGAGGTGGGAATCCCTCATGGAGGGATTGAAGAGAGGGATTTACAGGAGTCTTCCTGGCTTGCTTAGAATGTCGGGTTCCTGCCAAGCAGGAAGAAGACTGGGGTGCCGAGGATGGAGGATGCAGGGCGAGTCCGGGGAGAACCTATTTGCTCTCTTACACCTCCCCTTCTGCCTCGGTAGCAGCGGTTCAGAAAACACAGCAGCTGAAGAACTGTGATACCCAGCGTCTCCTCTGGCTAAGAATGGCCATGTGACTTAAATCCTACTAAGAAGATGTAAACAGATGTTCTGGGAAGATCCTAGAATAACAGAGGATTCTTAAAGGACCTTTATGAAGGGTCCAGACAGTTCCTTAAACTTAGGAGAAACAAGATATTTTTCTTTTTTTGCTATCCTGCTGCCTGTAAAATTCTGACAGTGGCTGGAGCTCTTGCAGCTGTTTTGGACCATGAAGTTTTCTGTAGGATGAAAGCACGGCATGACAGAACAGAAGGACGGGAGGACTGGGTCTCTGTTGACCCTGAAGTTGTGTTCTTGGCCTCCTCTGCTGGTCTTGGGATTCCTCTTACTTGAGAGACTAAAACCCTCAAGGAGCAAATGTCTATGGCAAACTCTGTGTGGCTGGCAGCCTAGTGCATTTTCTGAATGATATAGCCCGAATTAGACTGCTTTTCGTTACATCTGGACACATGCAGGATCTTTGAGCCCACTTTTCCATTCCCTTTCTCCTGTTTTCTTCTTAGTCCTGTTAACAACCGCTTTGGAATGACAGCTACTAAAATACTTCGTGCTGAACTGTCTAACGAGACTGTCAGCTTCCCGCACTCCGCTTTCCCGGGTCATACGAGTTGTATTACAGAAAAAGGCTGGGGTCAGAGGCTGCATCTCCGCCACCGAGACGGCGGACTTACGTAAGTCTCTGAAAATCTGGTGGGGGACAGTTTTCTAGAAAAGCAGACGTGACCAAAACCATTATGGAAGATGGGCCAATGCCACAGTCTATCCCACTCTAAAACAACCGCACCGGACCTCTCAGCGGTGTAACAAATGTCAGAGGGACAGAGGGGACACAGGGGGACAGAGAGGGACAGGCTTGCACCCCCCACCCATGAGCAGTCCGCACATGCCCTCCTCCAGTGCCAAAACCCAGGGCGGACTGTGGAGCACAGAGGAACTCCCACTTCATAGTCACAGCTGGGAGTGATGCACGCTTGTAATCTCAGCTACGTTGAAGGATGAGGCAGGAGGATCGAAAGTTTGAATCTCAAAATAAAAAAACAGGGCCAGGGATTTTAGCTCAACAGTGTAAGTGCCTGCCTGGCAAGTGCGAGGTTGTGAGTTCCATGCCCAATACCAAAAAAACAAAACAAAACAAAACAAAAGGTCTTGGGCTCTAGCTCGTGTGGAGGCCCTGATTTTATATATAAAATCATGAAACCTACTACGGAATGACTCGGGATCCTCTCAGGACACGAGGGTGTTTGGGCTGGTGAAGGCCCACTGGTGGAGCTCACCTGTGAGGGGACTAAGGAGGGAAACACAGGTGTCAGGCATGGGGGGGAGGTGCGGGGGGCACAGCCTCACCCTAGGACACCGCAGCCACCCACCTTCACCACGGTGACCATGCCCTCGTTGGTGGCTGGGTCGGTGCGGACGCTGAAGTGGCCAGAGGGGTCCCCACTGATGATGCGGTAGACGGCGTTCCAGTTGGGCGAATGGGGCTGGTCACGGTCCATGACGGTCAGGTTGGCGACCACTGTCTCCACACGGTTCTCGGGGACCTCGCCCGCAAACTGCAGGATGAAGAAAGGACAGTGTTACGGCCGTGTGGGCTGGAGAGGCAGGACTCCCTGTCTCCAGCCAGGGGCGTCCAGGATGCTGCTGGGGCCCGTTCCCTGCTTGTCACTCTGCCTGAGTGTGAAGAGGACCAGGGGAAGATGCAGATTCACCACCAGCGCCGAGGCTGCGGCAGGGTGACCCCAGGGAGGGGGCAGCAGTGTCCAGGAAGGCAGGGGTGGCCACTGTCACCTGGGAATGAACGAATGAATCAGGGAAAGCCTCCAGGAAGGGCACAGATGGGAAGTGGGTGGACCCCAGCCCCAAGGGGCCCCAGAGCCCCTTGGGTTGCAAGACTGGAAATTGGTGGAGGAGCAGAGCCACCGGCCGGCCCTGCACAGCACAGGGCTGAGACTGTCACTGTGCTCGGAGGAGAGGCTGGGAGGCCACAGGGAACCGCCCTCACACGTACAATGGGGTGGCCTGCAAGCAAGCAGGGCCCAGGGCTGTCCTCTGAATCCTGACTTAGGCAGCCTGCGCCGGACCCAGGAGCCCATGGGCCGGGTTTCTGATGGGGTCTGGGAGGCCGATGAGGCCTCAGAGAGGGGCGGCTGCACAGCTCACCCCTCCTCCCCAACTTCCCTGCTGGTCACAGGGACAGGCACTGGTCCGGGCGCAGTATGTGGGAGGCGTGGACTCACTGGGGAGAGAGGAGCAGGGAGCCACTTGGGCAGTTGTCCATCCCCTTGGAAGTGGGCCTGTCTCTCCCAGCGGTCACAGCTGGTAAAGCAGGGTGAGCAGTGGCTGCCGCAAGGGCCCAGGGCGCAGGAGCAGGGGGCACAGGCCCGGGGAGGGTGAGCTGTCCAGGCCCTGCTGCTGGTGGAGAGGCCAGCAGCTGGGAGAGGTTCGAGGCCCTCTGCCACCGGGGAGAGCCAGGGATGAGCCTCAGTTTCCCCACCTGCAAGCCAAGCAAGACACTTGCCTGCTGGCCTCTGCAGATGGCGGGGGGGTTTCCTGTGGTTCCAGATGCTCTTGGGGACTCTGCACAGCCAGAGTGTCCCACCCAGGGCTCCGAACAGGATGGAGGGAGGGAGGCAGGAGCAGCCCCTCCTGGCCCCACCCGTCTCCTCCACCCTAGCAGCTCGGCTCAGTCTCAGGGTTCCCCCAAACCCTCCGAGGGCCACGGTGGGTGATTCCTGGAGCAGTGCTGGGACTAAGGGCAGGTGATTTCTGAATCAGGGTGCAGACTGGTTTGGCGCCGCCCTAATCCCGGGGGCCCAGACAGAGCACAAAAGGGGCAGAAACAGGCTGCCAAGGCCGTGTCCTTCCTCGCTGTGTGGCCTTCTGCCCACCATGCTGCTGCCCTCTGTGGTGCCGTCTGCCAGGCCACCCCGCCTCGGGGCAGCCAGCGATGGACTGAAACCTCTGCAAACTGTGAACTGAACAAACCTTTCCTCTTCATTTTGGCTGTCAAGTATTTTGTCAGCTATGAGAAAAGTAACTAAGACACCAAGTCAGTGACAAGGCTCCATAGTCCCAAAACCTTCCAAAAGGCCCAAATTCGAGCACTTGAGGCTCTCTGGGGGACATCAACCAGGATCGTAGGTCCCTGTCTCTGGTCCTGGGGCCATATCACCCCGAGCTTCCTTAGGGACTGGGGTTGGTTTGGTCCAGGGCAGGGGCTAGCAAACTACAGGGCCAAACTGAGCCCTCATGCTACTTTTGTAAATAAAGTTTTATTGGCACACAGCTCTGCCAGTCACACATGCTCTCTGCCTTCCTGCTGTGACACGGAGCTCAGTAGCTGTGACAGAGGTGACGTGGTTTTCATCTGCCTCTTCGAAGAAAACGGTTCCAGATCTCTGCTCTGGACCTTTGTGCCCTCACTTTAGTAACTGGCTGTGGACACATGACCCAAGTCACATGACCTATGCCAGCCAATCAGGACTTAGTTCAGGTGTCCCTACCTCTGGGCTCCATGTTGCAGCCATAAGTGTCGGAGGGTGGGGAGGGCTGCCATAGACACCTGAGAACAAAGCCAGCGTAGGGAAGCATGGGTGAGGGGAGGGGCCTAATCCCAGGCCTCAGTGGGCTGAGGCAGCAGGATTGCTGTGAGTTCAAGGCCAGCCTGGACTGCAAAGTGAGACCCTGTCTCAACACACACACACACACACACACACACACACACACACACACACAGGAGAGATAGACAGAGAGAGAGGAGGGTCTCAGTGACACTGCTGGAGCCTGGATCCAGCCACTCCTGAAGTCTTTTTCCTGGGACTTTCCAGCTTCTGGAGATGAGGTGTCTGGTTGCTGGGATTAGTGCACAGGGCCCTGGTGGTTCTGCAGCTCCTTCTGAATTCTCTTCCCTGCTGTTCAGACACACATCCCGGCCCCCTCTATCTTGAGCACAGGCACGCCAGCCACAGGGCCGCCTCACACCTGGGTGCCCACAGATGCAAACCTGGGCCTGTGGTCTGGGGAGGCCATGGGGACAGGAGGGCCGCACCTGGGCCCTCACCTGCAGTGGGTCTTCGCTCTGCCTGTGCCCAGGACGCCACTTCCACCCTGCTGCCGGCCCGCTGTGGGCCCTGCCACCGGCTCCTGGGTGCGGAGTGTGTTGTATGGGAGGCTCAGGAGGGGAGGCCTGGCCAATGGACCAGGCAGAGGATTTCTCATTGGCCTTTCCCCAGCCACAAGGCTTTTAATTAGTTCACCGAGTCCAGGCCCAGGGAGAGACCCTGTGCACACGGGCACCAAGGCGGGTGTGTGGAAGGAAGACCTGAATCCAGGACTCACAAGCTATGCTCCTGGCGAGGCCTCCTGCAAGGTCCACGTCTGCTCTGATGGCTCAGGTGGGGCCACGCCCAGGGTAGGAGTTGGGACACGGGCTCAGGATGCCGCCCACCTGCCCCCGAGCTGGGCTGTCCCTCCTCGGGAGGAGAGGAGCATTTGCACCCGGGACAGCCTCACGCACAGTCACACAGCAAGGAGCAGGCAGTTTGGGAGGGCTCCTTGTGCCAGGCGAGCCCGCCATCCCTGGGGCGGGGCTGCCCTGGGTGGGCCGTCGCCCTCTGCTGAGGGGTTTTACAGTTTATTTCCTCGCTAGTAAAATACTGCTGTTGAGTCCCGCATGGTGGCGTCTGTGGCTCTGATCACCAGATGGGCTGCTCTGTGCTGGATGGGACATGTGCCCCATGGCTTCCCCAGGCTGCGTGGGTGTGGGAGCAGGAGACCCCGGCGGGGGATCTGAGTTTTGTCCCGCCCAGCAGGCCTGTGCTGCCCTGAAGGGAGTGCTGAGGGCAAGGGCGGGCCCAGAAGAACCAGGCTGCCCTTTGTGGGCAGTGGAACTGAGGTCCAGGCAGCAGGGAAGAAGGCTTTTAATTAACAGTTAAGAACTGGATTATGCTGTCTCCTGCATCTCTTTGGCCTCCACTGATTGGCCTTGATTGAACTCAATAAAAACAGCCCCGCCTGCTGTGTACATGGCAGTGTGTCCAGCCTGCCCGCCTGCATCTGTTTCGAGAAGGACCTGCTGAGAGCCACCTGGACCCAGACTGGCGATGGCTCCGTGATGACTGCGGGTCTGGTCATGGAAGGCAAGGGTTCCCCAGGTTGGGGGGTCAGGACCACAATTTCCTGGTTTGGCCCCTTCCCCAGTGTCGCACGGAACCGGGCGTCCCCACCTTTGCTGAAGGACTTCATGGAAGTGGCTATTCTCCCTTGATGCTGCCACAGTCGTGGGTCACACACACAGTTCCGTCTTAGGTCAGTGGGATTCTCGGCTGTCCATCCTCAGAGGTGAATGCAGATTGGGGACCTGCTGCGGATTATTCCTGCGTCCCGGCCCGAGAGGAGGCTGACGTGGTCCTTGTCCTACACAGCGTCCTTCCTCTTGCCCATCACCAACCATGGGCCATTCCAGGGCCCTGTGTGTTGTTTTCAGTGTGACTGATCTGCGTGCGCGGAAACCAAGCTCAGTCTGGGAGCAGACGAGGGGGTGCGGTGCCCATCCTAGCTGGACCAGGCTCAGGTGAGGGCACAGCCTGGGGTCCCTTTCAGGGTGGGAGGCCTTGATGCTTCTCTGCTCTGCACCTCCATGTGGGTGACAGTCACAGGTGCACCCAAGGGCAGAGCTTGTGTTGCACCCCTCAGACCCGCACTTGCATCGCAGCCAAGCAGGCCAGCAGCCCTGGGGCCACATCGGGATAGTGGACGAGGCTCACTCTGGGTCCTGACCATTCAGTCTTCAGGCAGCCTTCTTGGATCTAAAAGTTGGGAGTCACCTGTTTTGGGGAGGAGGCAGGGCCAATCTCAGGGGCCCCCTGGCAGGCCAAGTCTTTGGGGTCTCCAGCCCCCGACTGCCTGGGCAGCTTCCTTGTTCCATGGACCTGCTCTCCGATACCTCAGGGGGCCGTAGTGCATCTTCTCTGCTCCTGGGGGTGAGAGGTAAGCTGGAAATGCCATGGCTGCCTTCCTCCCTTTTCCATGGTGACCTCAGGGCCCTGAGGCTGTTTCCTGGGGTGCCTCTGCCGCACCCCAACAACTAGTCTCCAGCAGGCTTGTGCTGGAGCCAGGTAGTGTCCTTGGGGGTGTCTGGGTACCTTCCCCAGAGCTCTGCAGTGGGACACGAGGGGCCGCCTGGGGGCTGGGGGCAGGTTTGGGCCTGATTTGGGACCAGGGTTAGCTTGGCAGGCTCTCTGCTCTGGAGTGTGGACAATGCCTTCCTGAGTGGCTGCAGGGTGAGCCAGCCCTGAGCGCCGACTGGCCGCAGGTCCCCGGTGGTCACAGAAGGTGGCAGCAGGCTGGCTGTGCTCAGCGCCTCCAGGTGCAGAAGGCGAAGGTGGGTGGCTGGTGGCCAGCAGGAGCCAGGCAGAGGACCCTCCCAGAGCTCAGCCAGAGCGTCACTGTTCTCACAAGTCCGCTCCCCAGGGCCCTGGCCCTGGCCTTTCCTGCCTTTGCCCACTGCAGGGGAGAGCAGGACCGCCTGGAGGGTGAGGGGCTCTGGTACCCAGTGCTTTCCAGGCAGGCAGGGGCCGGGCTGCGCCCGGATCCGGTCCCTTCCCAGCCGCACAGTCACTAGTAGAGGGTGGTGGTGGGGCAGCCAGTCCCTCGCAGGGCCATCTGCCTCCTGCCCATTAGGTGGCAGTGTGTTTGTGTGTCTCACAACCTGTCTGCCACATGGGAACACTGGGGGGCGGCTCCAGACACCTCACACAAGCCCACAAGGAAGGAGCAGCCTCTTCCCCGCCCCCTTCACTCTGTGGCTTAACCCCTGCCCAGCCTGCCCCTGCGTCCTGACCCGTGTCGACCTGATGGGACCCCTGGCTGCTGCCAGGCAGACGGGAGGGGGCGGCTCACACTCGGCTGGTGCTGTGTCCCTGTTGCTACTGTCACTGACACACACACTACACGAGGCCCTGCTGAGAGAGGTCACTACAAGGAGGGCACCATGTGTGGTTGTGGGAGCTGGGGCACTGGGCATCCTGGGGGCCCTCACTGACCCTGCCCTCTGCATGCCTTGGCCTGGCACCTGTGGGCCACCTGCCTGATGGGCACTCTGCCTGGGCATGGCCCGCCCTGTAAACGCACAGGGCCCAAAGAGCACTGCTTGCTCATTCGTGGACTGGGGAGTCCATGGAGGGCGTTTGTGAGCAGGGTGGAGGCCAGAGCGCCCTAGAGACCACCCAGTAGCACAAAGCACCATACGTCTGCGGGGTTCTGAGTGACCCCTGTGCATCTCACAGGAAGGGACCTTCCTTGTGGCATGGACACTTCCTGGGAATCCAGAGGGAGCGAGAGCCATGTGACTGGTGGTGCCCTCCCCGGGGGGCAAGCTATGCCTTCTGTGAACTGGGGCACTGGATGCACACTTGTCCTCCACAGCCATCGCTATGCACTGGCCCTTGGGGACCCTCCACATGCAGGGAGGTACTGCCCCTGACCAAGGCCCCATGTAGGCCTCTCTTGGGCCGCATCCCCTGCAGACACCTCGTACAGCACCGCCCCTGCCTCAGCCACCTGTGCCCAGGACACTGTTACCCACCACCTGCCCTCTCCTCCCATCAGACATGGCGGCAGCGAGAGAGGCACAAACATTGGTGACGACAGCAGGTCAAGTACGCACCGTGCTGGCAGTGAATTCTGGCGGGTTGTCATTCACGTCCGTCACCGTGATGATGGCTGTGGCTGTGTTTGAGAGGCCATAATTAAGGTTTCCTTCCATGTCAGTGGCTTGGACGATGACTGTGTACTGCTGGACTTTCTGGAGAGGAGAGATGTACGGGGAAGGACAGCAGGTCAGCTGGGTGTTGTGGACAGAGTGCGCCCCTGACCCCTTGCACAGAACCTTCCCCTTCCCCTGCTGAGGGTGACAGGTGGCAGGAGGAGGCCAGCTGTGTGCCCATCTCTGGGCCCTTTGGTGGGACGGGTCACCTCTGGTGCCGAGGTGGAGACCTTGGGACACAGAGAGCACAGCTCTGCCATGGGTTTAGAGGAGCAGAGAGGGCAGCTTGCAAAGCAAGGTGCAAGGCTGCAGCCGTGTTGCCTGAATGTGTCCAGCGTCCAGCTGAACTGCAGTCGGATCCAGCCAGCAAAGAGATAATGCCCCACCCCTGTGCACAGCTGATACCTCGCTGCTTTCCGGAGAGCACAGCCCTGAAGGAGCCGCTCGCCTGGAGCGCAGGTGTGAGCTTTGAGAGGCAAATGCAGTGCAGTGGGGTGAGTGCGTCTGCCTAGGCATGGGGGAGCATCGCAGCTCCCCTCTGCCTGCCCAGGGCCTACGCATCCAGCCGTTTCCCCTCGCCTTCACACAGCCCTCCTGGTCAGAGGGGAATGTGTCCACCATGGCGGCTGAGCCAAGCCTGGCGGGCAGCTGTTTGCTGTCCGGGCGTCCTGTCCCTGCCCCTTATTGGTACCATTAGGCAGGGGGAACCCAGAGACCCCGGCAAAAGGGACTCTCTGTGAGGCCCTCCACATGCCTGGCAACCCCAACTCTCGCTCTGCTAGGAGGTTACCGGGAAAGGTGTGGCCGGGCCCTGTGAGCCAGTGTAACGCGCCCAGCTCCACACACTGGCTCCCCGAGAAGTTACAAAGAGATTTCCATTCATTTGCTGTCCTTTCATCCTGCACTTCACGACTGTCACATTCTGCTCCCCAGTGCAGCCAGGGTTTCTGACACAGGGGCGCAGGGGCCTCACCTTGGCTGCTTCCTTTGTTCCTACCCAGGTTTCTCTGATTCTTTACAAATCTGATTTTCTTCTCCCTCCCAGACCAATTTGGAAGTCTCCACTTCAGGGATCTCTGGGCATCATTCCAAAGCCAGGCAGGGCGGCCCGGGCTGCCCCAAGCCCTGGCCCCGATTCCCCACTTGCTCAGCATGTATGGGCTCACGGGCTGCTCTGTGTTCACTTGTGTACGTGGCTGTCATCTTCTCTCCACTGCAGTGTGGCCTGGCAACAGGTGGCCAGTTCCATAAACTCAAGAACAACGCAAGCTGAGGCCAAGGGGGGTACTAGGGTGGGGAGGTCCCTGGAGAGAGGCCTCCCTCGGTGAGGACTTCCTGCCAGCCGGTCAGTGTCTGCATGGAAGCCACCTTGGCAGCTGTGCCCAGAAGATGCTAGGACATTTTAGAAACACAAGGACACATAGTGTGCTTACACATGTCCATGAACACACATGTACGTGAAACATGCACCCGTGAATGTTCACGTGTGTACATGTGGATGCACACGAATGTACCCATGCATCACTGGTATGGGCACGTAGTGTAATGTGCACGCTGGTTTGTGTGTGCCTCTGTGTGTGCAGCCAATGGCCACTAGAGGGCGGGCTGGGCTTGCTTTTGGGAGCCAGGATCAGGCCAAACTGGGATGGAAGCTGCCCAGCCAGGAGGAAGGCTTGGGGCTGGGATCCCCGCTAGGCTCGGCCAGGACCAGCAGGCGGGGGCAGCTGAGGCCCAGCTTGCGGTGCTGTCAGGAGCACAGGGCTGGGTGCTGTGCCCTGTTGCCTGTGTCTGCGCTGGGTGCTGTTCACATCCTTCCCCTTCTGGGATGTGGTCAGTGCTGGAGGGCTGATGGATGGACCCAGGTGGGGCCTACGCGCTGTCCACAGAGCCCTGTGGTCTGCACAGAGCGGGCCGGCTGGCTTTGGTGGAGGTTTTGATGCATTTATTTTGGAATGCTGCTGCAGGACTTTGCCCCCGCCCCGCCCTTCTCCCCCTTCCTGTCTCTGGCTCTCACTTTCTCTGCTGGGTGCTGGAGGAAGATGAGTGACCAGGAGTGGCTGCCGGTGACTTCAGGGTTGGTGTCCAGGTGCAGGAGGGCGGGGAGGCCTCAGGCGGGAGACAGCTGACCCCCGGGTCCGTTCCAGGGGCTTGGAGTGGCTGCCTTCCCTCCGCAGCTGACGCCCTAGGTCGGTTTTCCCCAAACCAGGCCAGGCTCCTGGGGCTGGAGCCTTCTCTGCCGTGGGTGTCCTGTGCACCGCTCCCTGGCCTCTGTCCACGAGTGTTAGGCACAGCAACCACAGGCCACCAGCTGCTATCCAGTGGGACATCGGGCCGGGCTGATAAGCAGGGATTTAGGGAGAAGGCAGAGGCTCATCTGGTATCAATTGGAACAGGGTGTGCGCAGGGCTTCCTCGGAGGGGTTTCTGATTAGGGAGCTCCCAGGAGTGAACAGCTGGCGCTGAGGCCCAGGGCAGTGTCAGGTGTGCTCAGGAAGGATCACTCAGGAGAGGCCGAGGCAGTGCTCAGCAATCACACCAGCTGCTGAGGGAGGGCAGACGCAGGCACGGGGCAGAGGCAGGAGCCGGCAGCCCCTCCATGCAGCGAGGGTCCATGCAGGGGTCCAGGCTGGCACAAAGGCTGATGACTAGTGGGATCACAGGTGCAGAGGCTGGTGCAGAGCAGGCTGGGGCCGGGTGAGCACTGTGGGAGGGAGTCCCAGGGGGTTTGCTTGGTGGCGCTGGGACTGGCTCTGGTGGCTCTGATCTGGGGTGGAGCTGGGAGGAACCAAGGAAGGGCATGGCCAGGACTTTGAAGCTTGCACTTTCGTCTTGGGGAGGGAGCACGGAACCCCGCTTTCTCATGGGCCTTCTTTCTCCCGTGTCAATGCCGCTAGAGTCCGAGGGAGGATGGCACCCAGAGAGCCCCAGACATGCTCAGAGCCAGGACGTCTGGCGAATCTCAAAGCAGGTATCCCTGGGTGCCAGGGCTGAGGATGTGTCACACATCTCTGATGTCGAGGGCTGTGGACATCTGGCCATGCCCACAGGTTTCTGGACACATTCCCTGTGGCGTCTAGGTCTTTTCTTCTGGACATGGCTGAGGTTTTTTGAATGTGTCTGGAGGTATGTTGGAGAAGTCTGGACATGCTGTGATATATCCATGTGTTCCTGGACGTGTCTGAACTTTGTCAGATGCTTTTGGAAGTGCTGGACACTTCCTGGTGCACCCAAATGTCTCCCACCCAGGTGGCATCTCTCCCGTGGCCCGAACCTGATGTTTAGAGATCTGCATGTTCCACCTGCTCCCACCTGAGATGTTTCCTTCCAGAGACGAAAGCTCACCTTCCCCTTGGAAGATGGTCAGGGGGCAGCCTGCCTGCTTTTTTCTAAAAACCTCTGCACCTTTTCCAGAAAAGCACACCTTTAACACCTGAGCCCCAACCACGGCTGCCAACACCACCACAGGCATCTCGCCCTGCATCTCCCAGGATGGCACTGCCCACCCAGAGTCTCACTGACTGATGCCTTCTAAGGGCTCCCCTGTGGTCAGGGGCCCAGGGGCCCAGTCCTGGCCCAGCCAGCGTCCTGTCTGCACATCTCTGGCCAGCAGTGCGTGTGCACGAGAGTGAAAAATACAGGCACACGCACATGCATGAACACTTGGGCGCACTGTCTGCCTCTGCCCCTGGAGGACAGCAGGTCACAGGGTGCTCCCTCAGAGGAGGAGGGACAGTGGCTGTGGTAAGGGTGGGAATGGCCAAGTCCCTCGTCCACCTAAGGCACCTGGGACTCGAGTTTACCAGCCAGATTGGCACAGTTTATAGAGGCCCAGCTGCCGGCCTCTTGTGCTGGCCACTGCTGAGGGTGGTGAGGACGTGGCCACTGCCCATGCACACAGCTGTGGTTGGGAGTGGGGCTTGCCTGTCGCTCCCACCTGATGGCTTTGAGTTGGCAAGGCCAGGGCTGAACCCACGGGCATAGATTTCAAGGAGTACCCTACTCTCACAGGCATGTTGCCCAAAGATGCCTGCAGCTGAACGAGCCGGCCAGAGCTCTCCCACTAGGAGTGAAGTGGAAGTCAGGTGTGGTGGTATATATCGACTGCCCTGCAAAGTCAGGAGGCTGAGGCAGGAGGATTTCGAGTTTGAGCCCAGCCTGGGCAACTTTGCAAGACCCTGTCTGTGTCAAAATAAACATAAAAAGGGCTGGAGATACAGCTTAGTGAGAAGGACCTGGATTTAATTCTCAGTGCTGGAAAGAGAGAAAGAGACAGACAGACAGACAGAGGAACCCAAAGTACCTCGGCCTTGCCTTGTCACTGGCGCCTTTCTTAGGCGCCCCGGAAGCCGGGTGTTCCTCACTGTGACGTGTGGTTGTGCGGAGCGCGGTTACAGCAAGGTCTGTGCTGTCTCTTATGGCCAGACCCCCTCTGTCCTCACCACCACCTCATCTTGCGCCTGGCCTCAGACCGCTTCCTGCCCTTCTGTCCCCTGCCCACTCCCGCAAGGACTCTGGTCTGTGGACATGGGCTCCCCCACCTGCCCACCCAGGGGTGGGGTCTCCTGTTTTTCCGGTCCAGCCCTCCCTGCAGCACCTTCCCAGAGGCGCCCTCCCACTGGTGCCTCCGGACTCCCCCAGCAGCCCAGGGTGTGAGAGCAGGTGACGGATGTCCGAGAATGTGGTGGGGCCCTGCTGGCCCGTGTGCCCTGCTGTTGGCCTGGAGGGCAAGGGCGCTGCTGCTTCGGTGTGGAGGCCCTGCCTCAGCCTCCACTGTCCAGGAGTCACCGTGGGCGTCGCCTGCCCTGTCCTCCCTCCCTCCGACCTCCTGACAGCTCTTCTCGTCTTGGGGACAGTGGCTGCTGGCCTCGGGTCTCCGGAAGTCTGCAGAGCAGTGGGCTCTGGCCCGTGTGTGCCTTGGGCTGAGCACAAGTGAGAAAATCAAGCTGTGCCCACACAGCTCGCCTGGCCCTGGCCCATCTAGTGGCACTGCCCAAACCACTGGGCTTCCCCTTACATCGTCACCCTACCCACGGCGGGGCTACCCATTGTCCCCGCACCCTCACCAGCTGGGAGGCGACGCACTCGGTCAGACGACACCACAGGACGTCTGCAGGGTGTTCTGACAGGATGCACGCTCTGCATCTCCAAGAGGATGCGCAGCTGTCCCCCGTGTGCTGCTGGCAGTGTGTGATGCCAAGGGACATGGCCCCTGGGAGGACGGAGGGCACCACTGTGACCCAGGTCCTGGATGGTGACCCCATGGCCCCGAGTTGCCCAGCCCTGAGGCGGTGGCCTGGGGGTCCCTGTCGGCATGGGCTGGACACAGCTGCCATTTGGGTGGCAACCAAGGGAAAGGCAACCACAGGTCCCCAGGAGAGCATCTGTGGGGGTGCAGTGGGGGACAGATCCCAGCGCCGCCCAGCAGACGATATGTAAGGTCCTCCCTGTGCTCTGTGCTGATTACACTGTCCAGGGCCACGGCGTCCACAGGAGCTGAGAGTGGACAGGCAGACGCTGGGGCACGTGGGGGCCCTTCAGATGTGTGCCGGGGCAGGGGGTCGATGTCCTCTCCTTTGTGCTCTTGGCTGTAAATGTGTAGCTTTGTGATAAGAAAAAAAATCAACCGGTGTCGCAAAAATTGTGTCCTCCCTCAGGCCTGTGACACAGAGCTGCCTCGACACCAGCCCTGGGCTCAGGGAGGCCGGAGCCTCCGGCCTGGGGGTGCCCCATAGAGTGAGGTCGAGGGTCACTGAGACCTGAGCACCAGCCTGCCATGGCAAAGCCGGGGTCCAGGCCCCGGTGGATGGCATCTGGGCTTCATCGGTTTTCTTCCCTCCGTCCCCCACCTCTCTCTTTCTGGCTGTCTCTGTCTGTCACTCTCTTTCTCTCTGTCTGTCTGTCTGTCTGACTTTGGAGGGAGTGATCAGCATGTCTTCAGGATGGAACTCAATCTCAGGTGGATCAGTAAATTCGTCTCAGTTGCTGATTTTTCTGGAGACCACAAAGCTATAATTAGTGTCTTTGAAGTAGGGTTTCATCAAATCACCCGTCAGAAGGTGCTGAGCCCCGCCTTCCCCAGATGCTGCCTTTCGATTGGACACGGAGGAGAAACATTTCCAGAATCTTCCATGGGGCAGGCTTTGCTGCTTCTCTCATTGAAGGCACAGTGCTGGTCTGTGACCACAGAGTGTTTCTACCTTTTGAGCCCTAAGAGAGCATTGGTGATAAGGGCCTTCCCAGCAGTGGGGTGCAGCTGTTCCGTCCCTTGCCCCACACCAGCCCCTCTGACGGCACGGTGGGTCCCGAGGAAAGGTAGGAAGGTGCTGGCTTCACTTCCTGAGAGCCTTCGGGGACCACAGGATGCTGAGTCTGGCCCGCTGTGCAGGGAGACCTGAGGCTGGTGGACCAGGCAGCGGGGCCGTGGATGGGTTCCCGGGTGAAAGCAGGCGGGAGGCGGGTCGGAGAGCGAGGTGCCATCGAACAGCAAGCGGTCACCACAGGGCCCCGCAGGAGAGAACCCGCTGTCACCTTGAGCATGTGGGTGTCTCACTCACCTTCTCATTAGGCCATAAATATTCTAATTAGGAGACATTGCAAGATGAATAGGATTAGCGAGTGGGGTAGCCCCCGCTGGCCTCGAGGCTCTTGAACGACTTGCACCTTATCAAAGTCCCTCCTGACATTTAATCATGTAGAAACCCTACATTTACACAGCGCTCCTAATTAGAGGCGCTGGCAGTCATGTCTGTGGGTTTCCCCTTCATCAGGTGGGGAGCTGCGCACGTTTTTGGAAGGAAAGAAGCAGCTGGGAGAGGTTGCTCTCATCTAGCGGGTGGGTGAAGTGGCTCCACCTCGGGGCCCTGCTGGGTGGGGCAAAGCTCTGGCTGAGACACTAGTGGGCTTCTTGGGTCCCCAAAGCCTGGCTGCTGTTCCTGACCTCTCCCTGGCTCCCAACTGTCTCAAAGAGGCTTCCTTAACTGCAGGGTGGGTGTGCCCTTTGCCCCCAAAACCTCCACATCGGGGTTCCCAACTGAGCTGCGCTTCTGTCCGGAGGGGTTAACTGAAGCTGGGTCTCAGGTCTCCCCTGGAGGCCAGCCGGGAGGAGCAAGGCTCCTGAGAGCATTAGCACACCCCAAGCTCTGGTGGGCACATCTTCACCACAGCAAACCCCACGGCTCTTTCCCTTCCCGCGACTCCTCCTGTCATCCTCACCCCAGGCCCCATTGTCCCCCTGTAGCAGCCCTGGGGTGGCCCACATTCCTCGGGCCAGGGCCCCGTGTCTCCTCAGCCAAGGGTTACAGAGTCACCCCCACCCTCGCTCAGCCCCACGATGGTGGCAACTGCTGAAATGTCCCGTTTCACGGCTGGATGGGAATGTGCTGTGGCCTGTGTGCCCAGGCAGCCTCTCCAGGGGAAGCGCCATCAGAAGGGAAATCTGGAAATGACAGTAAGTCTTGGGGCGGCCCACAGGGGCCTGGAGGGCCTGAGCTGCCTCCCAACTATGGCAGGGGAGGGGGGTTCTGCATGGTCATCTACGGGCAAACTTGGCTTTCAAACCTTCTAGGGCTTCAGCTCCTGCTGCTTAGGGTCAGAGCCACAGTGCTCTCGGTGGGCCTCTCTGTGTGTCCATGTGCCTTCCCTCTGCAGCTCCCAGCCTACACTGCTCCCCGCCCCCGCCATGGTGTCCCTGCAGCACCCCACTGCATCATGGACTTGTCAGGGTCACAATAGCCCCTCTGACTTCTGGAAGTCTGCGGAAAGCTGGCTGTGGTCCTCCTGGCCCAAGACACTGTCACACAGGGCATCCCAAGCTCAGTGGGGTCACAGCTCGAAGTCTAGCCCCAACTTTGCACAAGGTCACTCCATGTGGTGACGTGGCCTTGGGGTTCTGGGCTTCACCTCCATCAGCCTCGCTTCCAGCGTGGATGGTGTGCAATCCACGTACTGCCACCAGTCGAACGCCACCACCCATGAGCCACAGTGGTCAGGAGCCTTCGATGGTCAGGTCTCCCAGGTGCTCCTTCTCCACCCCTGTGTTCTCCCACTGAAGACCAGAGGCAGGCAGCTCCCGTAGGCCTCTCCTTCCAGGGCCAGCCCCAAAGGGCCGGGGCACACGGCCTGATGTTTACTCTGTTTCCCGCCTCTCCTCTGAACATAGCAAGGGCCGCAGAGCTGCATTGTCCGAAATTGTACGTGTGTTCCTGTGCACACACCCTGGTCATACCCAGCCTGGAGAAATGCCTGCTGCTCGTGGCTGCTTGGGTGGCCCAGGGGCACAGGTGGAGACCCCGGGCTGGAGTGGGCGTGGGGTGGTATGTGGTTGCCCTGTGGGCACAGTGTCACTGTCACAGGTCTGTGGGCCCAGATCCCAGGCTAAAAGGTGGGCACTGGGCCACAGGGCCACTGGGCCACAGGGCCTTGTCCAGGCTGGAAAGGTGCCTGCTTGTTTGTGATCACTGGGCGGGTGACAGGCCCTCAACAGGTCCCCAGCCGTGAGACCAAGGGCTGGGACAGGCTGTGGCTCACGGAAGCCTAGGTATTTTGCCCACCTCTCCCACCACGTGGTTCTGCTCAGAGAACTCTAGGGAACTGACCAGGCAGCCCAGGTCCCTGCAAGCTGCCTCCTGGCTGGCCCTCACTCCTTCCACATGCCGTCCCCACTTCCAGGATAGAAATCAGTGTGGCTGGGGTTGAGGCACCCCTGACCTGTGACCACTCAGCTGAAGAGGGACGTGGTTCAACTGTCCGTCCTGAGCCCTTGGTGATCCACTGAGCCACTTGCATGCCTCACCTCCGTGCACAGCCCTTTACAGTTAATATTTTCAAGAAACGCTCTTCACGCTGTGGCAGCTCAGCATTGGCTGGAAAGGCAGAAGTGCCAGCAACGTGGTGGTGGTGGGGGTCCTGAGTTTCAGGGCCCTGGTGGAGACTCAGACATGTGGGACCCCATGACTTGAATCTGCCAGGCCCTTGGCTGTGCACCGTCACATGGGGTGTCCCCTCCTTGCAGGCCCAGCCCCCCACAATGACATCACGAGTCCTCTTTATGGCTGGCAGCTCCAGCTCATGGGAAGGGGGAGCACAGACTCACAGACACGGTCTGCAGTGCTTTCCAAAGCAGAGGGGAGACATGGAGACCACCATGACAGAGCCTGTGGCCAGTGCAGGAGCCATGGCTTTGGCCTCCGCAGATGGGTCCCTTCGGGGAGCAGGTTCCTGTTTGCTCTGCCAGGAGCCAAATAAGCCTGGGATGGGAGTGGTCAGGTGACCTTTGTTTGCCCTGCTGTCTGGGTGCTGTAGGCTGGGATGGTCACCAGTCTTCCTGGGCCCTCAGGGTGTGTCCAGCTGGGGGCAGGGGCTCCTCTCCCCTCCCCTCCACTCCCCTCAGGCAGGCAGTGGGACCTGCAGGCTGGTGCAAGGGCCTGGCCATGGGAGGGCAGGGAGGAGGGGTAAGTGACCTGCCCGCTGGCCCGAATGCCAGGGTTGCCCCTTCCTTGCCTGGGACGTGATAGAGGGTGTGTGGCGGCTGGGCAGCGTGGCCCACTGGGCAGCTGGCTCAGGGGTGTCTTTCTAGGCAGGTGCTCAGGTCCCCAGGCACTCAACTGGAACTTTGCAGTGGCTGGACTCCAAGGGCTTCAGGAGTGGGGCTCGTTCCTGCCTTTCTAAGCCCTCGGCCCTCTCTGACACATATCCTAGTGGGGCCTGTGCTGGGGACTTGCATGGCTCCTGCTCGATGACTTTCCCAGGGCGGCTGCTGGCCGCACTGCCCATGTCTCCTCGAGCCAGGAGTAGGGTGCCCAGAGTGTCCCATCACCTCCACCTCACAGTGCTTCCCGCCCCGCGTCTCACCTCTCGGTCCAGGCCTGCGGCCACTGTCACCAGGTCCCCAGTCTCGCTGTTAATGGTGAACATGTTCTGGGACGGGCTTTGCGGGGTCTGGGTCACGATCCGGTACCGCACCATCCCGTTGGCCGTGGTGCTGTCATCAGCGTCGTTGGCCGTGACCGTCATCACGTAGGTTCCTGAGCGGAGAGAGCAGCAGAGGAAGCCCCTGACACACCAGCTCTGTCCCTGCTGCTCAGCGGGGAATCGCAATGTGCCCGAAGCAGCTATGGGCTCCTTTGGTCTTGCTGGAGGCCTGCCTGTCCTTCACGGGGTGTCCAGCACAAGCTTGTAGATGCCCCAACCCCATGGAATCATTGAGGGGGTCTCCAAGCTCGAGGCTCCCTGGCAGTCGCTGTGCTGGGCTTCTCCTGTTTGGTGAGGGGGCTGGAGGAGCATGTGCTTCTCTGTGGCTCCAGCAGGAGACAGCAGAAGAGGCCTGGAGTTCCCACATGCAACCCTTTTCCTCTGAGCCATGTGGCCCAGGCACTGGTGGGCAGGTGTCACCCAGGCACGCATGGCTCCTGTGGGCCCAAGGCTCATTCACCAAACACTCACGGAGCCCCTACCGGGAGGCCCCAGCTTGCAGCTCCTAACTGCTCACCAGCTTCTCCCACTGGGTCCTGGGCCAGGCTCTCAACTCTGGGCATCCTGCCTGGGTGTGGCAGACGCCCCATGTGCTCACGCTGATGGCCTCAAGGCCTCCTGGGGACCCCCGAGGCATGAGTGGGCCAGGGCTACAGCTTTCACTCACTGAGGATACGTCGCTTTGCTGAGCCGAGCCCCAGCCTAGGGATGGTACGGGACCAGGACAGGCGGCCTGCTGTGTGCAGAGCCCCCGCCTGCCTGATGGGTTTTCTGTTCAGGGGAGGACCAGGTGACCCCACAGGGCGCCACTGCTCTTTGCAGGAGCCAAGGGGGACTTGCCACACCTGCCCAGGACCCTGCACAAGCTGCTCTGCACCTGGAATGCTCTGTCTTCTTCACCTGGCCAACTCCAGTCACCCTCAGGGCTCAGCCCCTGTGCTGCTTCCCTGGACAGAGGCGCCCACCTGCCTTCCAACCGCAGGCGCTCATGGTGCCTGCCCAGCCCGCCCTTCTGCAGCGCTGCACAGGGCCCTCACTTCGATAACCCCTGGGCAGGGTACACTCTGGTGTGAGCTGTGGCCCCCGCAGTCGGTGTCTGGGAATCTGCTTAGCTTCCAGCTACCAGTGAACAGAAATCATTCAGGGAGCTCTGGCCCAGGAAAACAGCAAAAGCAAACGCTGAGAGGCAGACGTCTATCTTGGGGGCACAGGGTCTGCGTTTTCATCTACAGGGCAGAGCACACTGAGCTCAGACCTCCTGTGCCTCAAGGAAGGGGAGGGAAGCCACAGCTGGGGCACAAGTGGGTGACCGAGGACGCAGAACTGTGCAGGAGAGGTCCAGCCCCAGGGCCGCAGGGCCGCCGGGGTGCGGTCCTTCCACTCCTTGGTTTACTCCACAGATATTTATATCTGCAGCTGTGTGCACACAGGGGTGGTCACTGAGATCCGAGTCACCTCCCATGAAATTTGCTTGTAAAAGCACAATGCGACAGTTTCTAGCATTCCGCGGAGGTATGCGACTATCGGCACTCTCTCATTCCAGGATATTATTATCTTTATCCCAAAGAGAGCTGTGTACCCACATGCAGCTGCTCCCCATTCCTCTCTCCCCCCGTCCTTGGTGATCCTCATCTACTTTCTGTCTCTGTGGATACTGAAGTGTCCATAAATTATATAATAGGGAACATTTTGCATCTGGTTTTCGGGGTTCTTTATGGCTGAACACTATTCCATTGCATGAGGATATTCACCCCACTCTTACAAACTTGAGCATTTGCTACATATTACGCAGCATACTCTGTGCTCAGATACAGCAGTAGGTACAGCCAGAAAAGAGCATCCTTGTCTCCGCACTGTAGGAAGAGGGAGATGAAAGAGGCACAGAAATACGTACCTGCAAACGACGGTGCATGCTTTGCAGAGAATCAAGAATGCAGGCAGGAATAAATGTACACACAGAAGGCCTGGGCAAGAAGGTGAAGCTGCAGGAGAAGCAGAACCCGCTCCTCTGATAAATGGAGGGAGCAGGGTGGGAGAGGGGAAGGGACAGCAGCCCTGGGCAGGGAAGAGGCGGGCTGGGTGAGGATCAAAGAAGGGGCAGAGGTGTGAGGGGCGTCTGGAGGAGCTGGACATTATGCAGGGGGAACAATGTGAGCAAGGTGACTTTTTTTTTTTTTTTGTCTTTTTCATTTTTCTCGGTACCAGGGATCGAACTCACAACTACCTGCTTGCAAGGCAGGTGCTTACGCCGCTGAGCTAAATCCCCAGCCCCGCAAGGTGACATTTTTAAGACACTCACAGAAAGTGGACTACAGGCAGTCAGGGGAGTCGGGCGTGGTGGGTAGAAAGAGACTCACTGATTCAGTGGGTTTTGGGGAGAACTGGCTGTGACTAGACTGAGATGTTGCAGCCGGGGGCATCCACCAGGGTGCCTATTCACCCAACACGCTCTCATTAAGGGTCTTCCAGGGAAGGTAGAGAACTTGTGTGTTTTGAAGCCCCAGGGAAAAAAAAATTTCATAGATCTACCCTAATTCATGCAAAGAGTTGTTTGTAAATACAAGTTTTATGAATTCAATTATCTATAGCATTTCCCCAGAGGCAGTGGGGATTTAAAATAAACCGAGAAAGTTCTGTCTTCAGCAAAGGAAGATCATGTTACTCTAAATCAATCTTTCTTCAGAGGAAAACTAGAAAATCTGAACCAAAACAAAACAAACAAACAACCAACCAATGGAAGTAAAGTAGGTGTTTCAGGCCCTAGAGAACTCCCATGTGCATCTGTGGGACCAGAAAAAAAGGGGAGTCCAACACCTGAGCCCTCTCTTCTCTCAAGGCATTTGTTGATTGTGAGGCTGACTTAGGACGGGCTGGAGAGCCGCCCAGTTCTTTAGCAGGCTCAGGGACATGGGAGCTAAACACTGAACCTCCGGCTGGCTGGAAAGGAGAGGCCCTGGCAAACCCTCCAGTCTCTGGTGGAACTTTGAAGTGTAGGTAGCACTTTTGGAGAGAAAGTGACCTGAAAATAAATAGTCTTAACTGAAGTACAGCTCTGGTTAAGGGCGTGGGTTCAGGAGACCAAGATTATTAGCAGCTGCTGTGGTTTGGATCTACAGTCTCACCCCAAAGTCTCACGTTTGTAGGTGGGTCCTGGCTGGAGGGGTGGATCACTGGGGGGAGTGACCTGGAAGGATGTGTTCTTGCCCCTGACTCCTCCCTCTTCTCTCTGCTTCCTGGCTTCTATGAGGTGAGGAGCTTTCTCTTCAATGTCTTCTCTCATGGCGATTGTACACAGAAGCCAGCTTATCATGGATCAAATTCTCCAAAATCTATGAACCCAATTAAACCTCTCTTCCTTTAAGTGGTGGGTGTCAGGTACTTTGTCCCAGAAATGGGGAAGCTGACTAATACAGAAAGTTTGTACTAGAGAAGTGGTTCTGTGACTGTGACTGTACTTCACCTTTAGAAGCCTTAGTACTGGTTTTCAGGTAGAGTTTAGAAAGGTTTGGAGATGTGAGGTACAGAAGCCTTACAATGCTGTAAGTAGAACCTTCTGGGTGGTTCTGATTAGAGCTCAGAAGATACGACTGCTGAAAGGAATGTGGATAGTACAGGCCAGGCTCAGAAGGTTTACACTGAAAACAAAGACTCCACTGGCAGTTGAATGAGAGGCCCTGTGTGTTATGTCTCGGCAAAAAATTTTTCTACATTTTGCCCATGTTCTGAGACTTTCCAAGAGGTGAGATTAAGGGCACTGTACTAGTTAACCTGGTGGAAGAAATTTCAAGACAGCCCAACATTCAGGATGTGGCAGGGGTACTGCTAGCTGATTTTAGCCAGGTGTATGAGTGAGGACTGGAGATAAAACAGAGCAGAAAAATTTAAGTTAAATTTTGGCTCAGAATGAATCATGTATAAAATTGGGGCCCAAAGAAGAAGTGTGGCTGCTGAAGAATTTAGTACTATTAAAAAGGAACTTTGTACAGGGGCAGGAAGAAAAATGCCTTGGGGAAATGCCTCAGGAATTTCAGCAAGGCTCTACCAATATCAACCTCAATGGTATAAAAGCATAAGCTTTTTAATTGAGAAGAGAGTCCCTGGACTCCTTGCTTGAAAATATTGGCTCTCTAGGATTCTTTTTTTTTTTTTTTGGTCTCTTTGAGACAGGGTCTCACTATGCAGTTCAGGCTAGCCTTGAACTTACTTTGTAGCCCAAGTTGATCTTAAACATGCAACGATCCTCCTACCTCAGCCTCCCCAGTGTTGGGATTACAGGAGTGCGTCACCATACCGGGCTCCAGGATTTATTTTATCATGCTCAACTATCCAGGCACCCCTGCAGTCATGGTCCAACAGGGCCTGGCTACTGCCCACACTGATGGCAGACTTAGGCATCTTCCATGTGAAGCTGTTTTTCTCTTCTCAGCAAAATGCAAGAGCCGTGGGTCATGGAAGTTTCCACCCACATTTCAAAGGAAGACCTGAGACAGCAGACACTGTGCCCCGAGAGAGTGATGCATGAAGCTGTGAGCACACAGCTGAATGTACCCATGAAGCTGGGGAGGGCAGGAACAGGGAATGCCCCTGAGGCAAGCTGCAGACGGTCGGCCCAAGAGAGAGGTCGTGTGGGCTACAGCCAGCAATGGCAGAGAGGCTGGACTGCCCAAGTCCTCTGGAGTTCAGTCTCACCACAGCTAGCCCTGGGTACTGGACATGGAGGTAAAGACTTAATGTGTACCTGCAGGGCCGTGGTCTGGCTTTTCTCCCTTTCCTTTCTTTCCCCCTATTTTTCTCTTCTGGGTTGGGAATATTTACCCTGTGCCATCATACGTTGAAAATATTTAACTTTGTTTTTAACTTATACAGAGCTCAGAGCTAAGAGTTTGTCTTAGAAGAGACTTTGGACTTAAACTTTCCAGCAAAGCTGGAACTGTCAAGCTTTTGGCAACTCTTAGAGATGGACTAAATGCATATTTATAGTGAGATGGATGTGAGCTTTTAGGGACCATGTTGTGGCTCGGATCTTTGAAAAATTCCCCCAGATTTTCATGCT